TATATATAGAGCCTGTGACCTAAGTTTTTCACTGCCATATCTACACTGTCGCTAATGTGCAAATGACAATAAAGCCTTGAATTGAATTGAATCCAACAAGAAAAATGCAATTAGTGCATCTCTATGTAAACCCCAAAGTGCCCCCCTTTGCAGAAAACAATATTAGTTTGTCATTACCGTTGCTAAATAGCAAATACATAGACACAAAGTTGTAAATGCTTGGGTGTTTTTTACCCCTTTTAAATTGAAACGCATGCTAAATTATTTTCTGTAGCAGAAGAGAGCAGCTGCAGCAGCAGTGATGCAGTCTGGATGAACCGTGAGCAGAACGCGCAGACGCCAGTGACGATGCATTCGCCAGTGATGATGCATTCGCCAGTGATGATGCATTCGCCAGTGATGATGCATTCGCCCCACCTCACCTCCACCGTGCTGAGGGATCCAAAGAAGATGAGGCCAGAAGACAGCTACACCGGCGCTTACAGCATGCCGACAGAGCAGCTTCCCCATCAGCCTGTGCCTCTCCAGCAGCAGCAGCCACATCACCATCATCAGGCTGCCATGGATTACAAGTAAGAAAACATTGAATTTACCTTGAAGTGAATATTGCAAATGTTGCTTTTGTTAAACTATGGGATTTAAGATGTCGTGTTAAATAATGAACACACTGTACCCACAGTACACAGGTTACTTGGATGTTGACACAGAGACAACAAGCTGAGGCCCATCAGCAGCAAGAGCGGGTCAGCATGCAATACGCCAAGATGAGGAACCACATGCAGCAAGCAATGTAAGATGGCACTCCTCTTCAGAGTATATAAGGTCGCATTCACACCAGCCTTGTATAGTCCGGTTGAATCGAACCCTGGTGCGTTTCACCACTTGGTGCGGTTCGTTTGGGTCGGTGTGAACGCAGTCCGCAGACCTCTAAAGTGAACAAAACAACCGGACTCTGGTCCGCTAAAAAGAGGTGGTCTCGGATCGCTTGCAAGTGAACTCTGGAGCGTTTCATCACTGGTGTGAACGCAGTCCGCACCAAAATATAGGAAGCGTAGTATTTACGAGTCACAAGAATGCGGATGTCTTCAAAATCTTTAGCAAAAGAGTAAAGCAGAATGAAGTGTTGAACAGTGTGTCAAAATGCTCCGTCAACAATACATAAAAGTCAGAGCCACCTGTCGTCTGTGAAACGCTCTCCTTACTGTAGAACGTCTCTCATTATATGTTATAATGTTTTTTATCGCACGTTGTCTGATTATATAATTATACGCTCCACATGAAAATAACCTGCCGATGCTCCATGGCGGAGGCTCTTGTAGAGTGCCGGGATTTGCGTGTTTACCCCCTTAATGTCTGACCAATTGTTAAACAGCATTTCCGTGCACATGACTTGTGTTTAAAGTTCATAGTCTGTTTGAGTTTTGCCCAATGCAAACCGAACCTTCTGAAAACTGAAACAATGTAACAAACTGTCATCTGGTGCACTCAGTCTATGGGTGTGCACCAGAGAAGCGGACTATTAGGTGTGAATGCGACCTAAAACTAAAACAAAGTAACAGGTTTTCTTTGTATTGACATCCATACATAAATAGTAAAGCAAAAACCCCTAACAAGTATCTGTTTGTACTGCTCAGTCGCCGAGGCTCAGGACTCATGGAGGACGATGAGGAGCCAATAGTGGAGGATGTGATGATGTCATCAGAGGACCGCTTGGAGGACATTAATGAGGGCATGGACTTTGACACAATGGACATTGATTTGGTAATTCAAAGCTGCAAGAATGTGTTGGATAATTTAAAAAAATGTTGCTTATTAACACATCCAGCAGTTACAGAACAACATTATACATTATTTTAACTGTTTGTGTTACAGTGATTGTAAGTCTAGCATTCACTCATGTTATGGTCTGAGGGAAATATCTGCCTCCTTATTTGATAAATGCTCCACTTTGTTAACAAGTCACTATCACTAACTGTCTGTCTGCTGTTTGGTGCTGAGCAGTTTTGAACAGTGGGGTTTTAAAACGTTTTCTCTTAAAACAGCTGCTTGCCTTGACAGTTGTTATGACTCAGTCATGCGACTAGTTGCAACATTTCCTAGGACGTTTCCTTTAAATAACAAAGTGTTGTTGCTTTGTGCAAAATAACAACATTTGCACATGAGAATAATTTTCAGCATTTGATAGTTGATGAAGCACATTTGTTTCTATCTGTTTTGTCAAACTGAATTTCTGACCCAGCCGTTATTTTTCAGCCTGCATCAAAGAATCGCAGAGAGAGAACTGAACTAAAACCGGACTACTTTGATCCGTCTTCAATCATGGATGACTCGGTAAGTATTTACTTATTTGCTTCTTTTAAAAAGTGCCCATCATTACTCACAATTGTAGGCCTGTTACCTAGAGGGATGCAGGGTGGTAGCAATAAATAGCATTAACAACAATAACAATGGATTCCTAAGGCAACCCTACTAGATAAAAACCCCATCAACAACTCCAGAGTAATGTCAATAAACCACTTTACTAGTTCTGTTAACCTTCATGGCTTTTAAATTGTTAATTGAATTGTGTGTTTTTTTTAGGTTCTCAATGTTTCCATGTTCTAAAACAAATGGATGCATCAAGGAGAATGTGTTATCAAATCCTTGGAAGATAAGATTGATGGCTGTTCTCTGTGAAAATCAGAATGGAGCGAAATGGACTGCTATAAATGGTTTGTGAGACACCAACATTTGCCTCTTTAACACTTTGTTAAACATTTAGAGCGAGAGCTTGAATTTGAATTTTATTCTGATATTTTCACACACAGGACTTTTGTCACGTTGCAGCTGCAATGTTTCTGCTTTTGTTCAGTTACCCTTAAAACAACCTGATGTTAGTTTAGCAGTACATACAATATGTGGCAGGTGCATGGTGAGGGGATAATAACAGATTGAAATTCAAATTAGTTATATATACCTTTAATCTTTTTGATTCAGTAGACAGGAATTGTCTGATGTAAATACATAGTGGCCAATATACAGGAGGGGTGAACACAATTTCATGAACACCAGTTGATAGAAATACAATAACCCTGCAAAATAATGCTTCAGTGTTCAGTCAAACACTATAATGACACTGCACTTTCTCACAGAGGTATTCATTAATGTCTATGATCATTTAACAGCCATATTTTTAGAAATGATCATAGACTCCAATCAATTCCTCTCTGATGCAATCTTAACAGAAATTGAACGTCATAAGATTAGTAGAATCAACCTTATTACAGGGCTATTGAATTGGACTGCATTATAATGTAAAGGTGTCAGCGATATTGCGTTTCCCTGCCGTACTTTTAAACTGTAGAATTTGGCATGGCATGTAGCCATATATCAAAACATGTATACAGTAAAGTATAATGTGAACTGGCGTCTCATATTGCTCAAAGGCCTTGCCAGAAATGATATACGACATTCTCCGATTTCTTTGTGATGGTGTTTTTTAGAAATGTATGTGTTCTGCTTTTATACCTTATGGATGACTTTCATTTATAGATATTTTGTAATGACAATCAAATGTAAATGAATGATTTCTAATCATGTTATTTCACATAGATGTTGAAATAATCATTTTTAATGAAAATGATTATGTTACTAAAGATATGGCCAGTTGTTTGTATTTTCTTTGAATCTCTTTAATATGAATGGGGCAGAAGTAAAGCATTGCTCAAATGTAGTAATTTGACAAATTGTTGACTGCATCTACAATTCTTTTTTGAATATTGGGAGCATTCAGAGTATCATACATACAATTTTGACTCAACCTTAAACATGAACCTATAAACCATAACCTCCTATATCTTAACTATTTTCTCCACGGTATAGTATCTAGTAATATCTTATAAAACAGATATGCCATAGATTAAATCTTTAATAGAAAATGATTTTTTTAAACGGGTGAGAAAGCTGTGTGTGGTTTGTTTTTTTCCAGTTTGAAAGTGTGCAGAGGATTTTTTCAAAAGCCAATTTATTTGATGAGCCACTGTTGTGTGTATAAGAGTAATAGAATTATTCTAAATTACAAAGTTTTAGAATGCTTTAGTCATCTATCATAGTATCAGAATTGTATATTATACAATTATAGATGTGTAATATATTGTGAATCGGTGCTCATTTTATCCTTGTTTCTTTTTGCTTGAAATTTTAGGGAGAGTTTAAATAGAATGTAAATATTTGAAGTTCACCTACTACCTTGCAAGTATACATACAGTACATTGTTTTGTTTGTCTTTCAATGGGTTGTTGCGATATTTCTTTAACTCTGTGTATAGGTCTGGTGGGCAGAATAAGATTTAATGGAAAATGGTGTATTCATATTGTAGTTAGTAACAAGACCCTAATATTCCTCCGAATCTCATCATAAACTGGACAAAACGGATCACATGGTTTTTAACATTGCCATATACATACTGACTATTCATATGAGGCAGATGAGAAAAATACATCTTAGAATTGCTTGTATATTTACATGAATCCTTCATTTTGAATCTTTGTTTGCATTGAACTGCTGAAAATGTGCATACATCTGTATGTGTACACATTTAAATATTTGTGTATATTAAATTTGTGTTTTTATTCTATTTGTGTCCTATTGTATCCTTTACTATTTGTATTTATGTCTGATGATGTAACATGAACCTGTGTGGTATTTTAATTAATACCTCCAAGTTGTAGTTCATATCATATGAATGAAAAGTTGCAAGAAAAAAATACTCTCTTAGTTTTAGTTTATTTGTTAAATATACTACAACATTTAGCCATATTTAACCCATTTTCTTTAACAATACTATTAATTAAGTTAACATTGATTGGCTTTTCAGTTTAAATAAGTTTAGCGAACATTTTTGAAACCATGGTTACACTATTATTTGTTAAATGAAGGTGGCTTTTACACCTCCCCCACCCAAAAAAAATGAGTTAGTTATGTTATTTAAGTTTAGTCGAATGTCTTTTATCCCGTTAAAATAACCGTTTGAAAGAAATTGGACGATACGGAGCCCTCTATAGTCCTGGAACACAGAGTACCGTACTAACAAAGCCCTCAGACAACCCTCAGTGTCCCACCACGCAACACTGAGCTAGCAGCTAACCACCACATTTGACCCTGTGTGTGCCATGAGATGAATTAGACATCCGGGCTGTGTGTATGGAAGATGGCGACACTTATCCTCCCTGGTGAATGGATCAAAAACTGGGAAAAATCTGGAAAACACGAGTTGTGAGTATAGCTGAACTTCAACACAGTGCCAGGGGTTACCGTGGGTTAATAGCAGCTGACTGATATAAACCAACTAAAAAAATGCGTAGCTAATATTGCAGTTGAGGCCAATCTTCTAAGTGTGGTCTGGGGCTAACAGAAGCGTTAACGTTAGCAAGCTACACAAAAAACATTTCAAGTGGCTTGCTAACGTATATCCACGTCGCTATTTGGAAAATATTCGGATATACTAAATATTTGCAACTAGACAGTATATACCCTTTTCTTGAAATTTAACTAGCTAACGTTACCTGCATGCTAGCAATTTTGCTAGCTTACGCTCTTGATTTGTAAACACTGGCTACCAACGCTAAGCTAGTTAGCACCAATGTAGCACACTCCCCAACTGCTTCGATAGATTCAGGATTTGTAATTGCATTGCATTTGATGCCAACAGTCATGTAGTTACTTGGCGTCATTTCCCAACACACAACAGAGAACAGGTGGCGGATAAACACTTTATAGCCAGAGTTGTGCACAGTAACAGTAATGTTGTAGTAATCAAGTGGAGGGAAACGACTAAGCTTGATATAACGCTATAGCAGTTAGCGAGCGTTAGCTGCAACATTAGCAACGGTGTCTGATTGTCTTGTTGGATGTTGTTTTGCATATGCATGGCAGCATGAAAACGAAATATGCCATTTCATGTTTTTATTCGAACTTCTGTTCAGAAAGACTCTGCTCACACTTAACCTTGTTAGCTAACGTTTACTTTAATATAGATACTTGTGTACCCCATCAGTTAGCTTACGTATTGACCATGGTATGACGTTAGCTAACTCAAATGTCGATACAAAGTTATGCAATTTGTGCTAACCATCAGCCAGCATTAACTTTATGGGCACAGAGGGAAAACCACCAACCCATCCTAAGGCAGCACCATGGATGCTCGCCCTAACAACACCTGGCAATCAAAACTTATGAGAAAATTGTCCTGTAGCTATATGATTGTGTTATAATGGAAAATGTCGACCTAAAGACTCTGTTTTTCTTGAGCTAATCTTTAATGTAAAGGCGGAGACACTAAAGGTGCCTATCCATAGTGCAACCTACTATAAGTTGTAGGCCTTGAATCTTAAAGTAGGGCCTGCAGTAGGATGCACCAACTCAAACTACTCAATTGTTAGTCGTGTATCTAACAATTGTGTATTTAGCAATTCATTTTGATACTTTATTGAGATATGCAACAAATAATCAATTGTAAAACATACGAATTGAGAAATAACAAAACACGTTTTCAAACAATGTACAATATTCTCCCTCATGCACATTCTCAGCTGCTGGGCAGAGCTGAGATCCACCTGTAAAGTAATCCAGTAGCCACTAAACATGCTTAATAAATGTTATGTTGAGGAAATACTTTTTACCTTCATATAAAACTATTAAATAATTTCACAATAAGTATGTGTCTATTTGAGCACCTCTGTTTTAAATCCTCAAGTTGGAGGGTCATGGTTAAAGGTCCCATGTCAGCAAAACCCCACGGACTCCCTATCACTTGAAGGATGTCACCCTATTCCTACCATCATTATTGCAGGAGGCCAGAGGAAGGCCATTTTCCATATGCTGATTAAAGAAGGGTCACATTGTTTATTTTTTTACCAACTATTTTCCAAGTTAAATTGTGTTTTTTTTATTTGATCACAACCATCCAAACAATATAGTGATATTAATCATTAGTACGATTTAATCATTGTGATTACCAGAGTTAACTGAACCACTCTATGTTTGACCTCAGGTTCCTGACACACAGCTGTCAGTTTGGTGGTGTTGAGCATCTCAGATGGAGCGATACATGAATAGTAGTTCTCTAGCAGCTTTAGTTTTTTTCGTGGAAAGCCATTGAGGCGGCACATTATATCTGATCAGTGGTCTTCTTTGCTAGTTCTTTGAGGCTTTGAGTATTATTTTTTCAGGAATTAATTTAATATGCTAAGAAAAATAAATGTTAAAAGTTGAATGATATACATTGTGTTAACTAAAGGAAGATTCAACGGCTATGGTTTGTAATGTCTGTGTTATCTAACTGACCATCATTTTCTTTTTTTTCTTTCATAGTGTACAACTCTGCAAAGACCTTACAGAGAAAACAGACCATGGAAGTGAAGTTAGAGGTAAGTTGACATTTGAAAATGACCTCAATTCTGTAACACACTTGTTTTTAGTTTGTCTTTCAATGTACCTTAACGTCCCTGTTTTAAAGACACTCATGGAAATGGTGGTACTTTGATTTGGAAAACAAATAATTTAAACAAATGCGTTTAAGTTAAACATAAAATATATAAAAGAAAAGTTGAAATATAACCTTTGTAATAAATGTAAGGTTGGAATGTATATGTTGGCTGTGGTGAAAGTAGATATGTATGGATCTAATGATGCACAAATATCTGCAATCTGTAAATGAGCACAACTTTGTTCATTATAATCACAGGCCGTTTTTTTGCATCCGAGGGAACCCTTAAATCATTTATCACCCTAATTAGGTACAAGTAAATCTCCTATAAAGAATATTCTCTTCCATTAAATAATTATTTATAGCAGTGATAAATGCCTCCAAAAGCCTGGTAGTTTGGCAGTTTTTCCTAAGAACTTTAGTTTCCCTATACATTGCTAATACACAACACATTATTGTTTTATTTTCCAGTTTCTAAAAATACTGCGACGTTGCAGATACCTTTTTTTTTTTAATATCATTACATTACTATAATATATTATGTCATAGTATAATATTATTAGGGCTGTCAAGTTAACGCACATTTTTTTTAGCGCCACTAATTATTTTTAACGCGATTAACGCATGTGTATTTGTTGTCCTCGGCCGCCCCGTAGTTTCAGAGCGCATCGAGTTTAAAATACCATCTACAAGCTGATGCTGACAGCCCCGCTCCTGCTGCCTGCTTGCAGCAGACCACACTTCCACGCTCACCGGCAGGCACCGACTGGCTGTTGGGAGGACCGGGAGGGTGTGTGTATGTGTGGCGCGAGCGAGCGAGAGAGAGACCTTACGTGTATTGTTGTTGTTAGCATCTGGTGCTAGCTAGCTGCGCTAACGGATATAAGGAGCTGTTGAAAACAGAGGAGCGACATTTCGCCGACAACTGCGCCGAGCACTTGACTTTATGCAGGAAGCCAGACAGTGGGACATTGTACGAGAAGTCAGCACACTCAGCACGGATAGTGCGCAACATGATTGCAGCGTCCAGGCAGCTCCCGTTCGAGCATATGCCTTGAGTTGCACATAGCTCCAACGATCCATCACACACACACACACACACACACACACACACACACACACACACACACACATTGTATTGTATGAGAGGTTCCAGGTTGAATTGAGGCGAATATTTGTAATGTTCAGAGGTTGTTGTGTTTAATATTCATGAGAATATTTGTCATCGTTCAAATGATAATAAACATTAGCATAAAGCATATTTGTCCACTCATATGTTGATAAGAGTATTAAAAACTTGAAAAATATTCCTCTAAGGTACATTTAAAACAGATAAAAAATGTGCGATAAATGTGCGATTAATCGCGATTCACTATGGACAATCATGCGATTAAATATTTTAATCGACTGACAGCCCTAAATATTATGCAATTACAGTCAAGCTGTGACTTGCATATTTGTTGTTGTTGAATGAGACCACACCACATCTTTGTTCTTGCACAACTATACACTTGAGCGTTAATGCAAACTGGGATGTTTTAAACAAGTCATCATAATGCAGGCACACATGAAAATTCAGTTGTTTTACAAAGCATTTGTTATGAAAATCTATCCATGGCAATACAAATCTGTTCTCTACTGCCTTTCTGTTAATGGACGATGCATCAGTGACATTCAAATGTTTTGGCTTGACTTGCAATGATGAACAAATACATGGTCTATTTTTACCTAGCTACAACAGACCTATCCACTTATATTTGATATCCAAGAGTGTTTTCCTGTTAGATCTGTCTGCTCAGTTTAAGATGAACTGTGTCTGGTCTGTTTCCCCCGCAGACATACAGGCTGCCTTATACGAGCTGTGCTGGCAGGTTGTACAGGGGAACCTGAAGTTGGATCTTGCAACCTGCGTCCTTGGGGAGATGATGGTACCAATGCTTTTTTGTTTCAGTGTTAAAACAATGTCAAACGCACAGAATTATCTACGCTGTTATTTGAAGACACAGCTTTTCTTCCTTGTTCATATCTTGCTTTTATTCCATCTTAATTATTCCCTGCATGCGTATTATTTATTTTTTCAGGAACTCCGAGATGACATGCCATCAATTTTAGCAGATGTTTTCAGCATACTAGGTAAATCCAAGTTTTTATTTTAAAAATGGAATTATTCTGAAGTACTGCATTACACTTAAATCTAAAGTCGTATGTATAATAAAAAAGCTATTAATGTTGCAAACTTGTCAGACTCGTCTTAATGTTTTTCTTAATTATATTCTTCACAGATTTAGAGACTAGTGCACTGGAAGAAAAAGTCAAACGTGAACATTACACGTCACTTGTGGGAGCATGTTTGGTAAGAATAACATCCAATGTTTTAATGTATTTGACACTTCATGCAGTTGGACTAGAATACTAGACTACCTGAAAAAAATGGTATGATCAAAATACGAGTGCTTGTACGATTATGCATTTCTCTTCATTGGCACTGTTGCAACACAGTTACACACTGAATGGGTTATAGTTTAATTTGTATTTAGAATGAAGACCATAACACTGTTCATAGGGATTGTGATCTCATTTGACCCAGGTGCGTAATGAGACTGCCTGATTAAATAACAACTAAAACAAATAAATAAGCAACTTGATATCTTTTTATTTCAGTTTTTTGTTCCGGAGGTCATCCTGAAAGAGAGGCTGGATCCAGAAACCCTTGAATCTCTGGGACTTATAAAACAAGCTCATCAGTTCAACCAGAAGATTGTTAAAATCAAGACTAAACTATTGTGAGTCGAGTGCACCATTAAGTACAGATGCAGACATACGCAAATACAAAATGTGCTTTTCAATTTTTTTGTTAAACCTGTGTTTCTTCTCATCAGTTACAAGCAACAGAAGTTTAACTTGCTACGGGAGGAGAACGAGGGCTACGCTAAACTAATCACCGAGCTCGGCCAAGACCTCTCGGGCAGCATCACCAGCCACCTCGTCCTGGAGAGCATCAAGTCCCTCATAGGTATCTGGCCTGTCTCTTTCAGGATGACTTAATTGACTGTGGTTCTACTTTGTCTTGATTGATTTGAATCTCTTTCCCTCTGATCACTTAGATTTCACTTTGACTCCGATATGGCAGCACCTGTTTTTTCACAGAGATTTCACTCCCGCCAAGAAAAAGCTGATACTCCCTCTTATACTTTAGATTTGGAGGACTCTGGCCTCAGAAGCACAGAGGACAAAAATAATAACCTGTTTTTCATTTTGAAGCCCCACGTGACTCACTGTTTTCTGATGGATCTGTTTTGTTTTCCTGCAGGATGTTTCAACCTGGACCCCAATCGTGTCCTGGACATAATCCTAGAGGTGTACGAGAGCCGATCTGACCAAGATGAGTTCTTCCTGTCTCTCATCAAGTCCTACATGTGTGAGCCACTCACCCTTTGCCACATCCTGGGCTTCAAGTTCAAATTTTACCAGGTACGAATTACAAGAATATGTTAATAAATGTGCTGTGCTCTACTGGGCTAGAATGTGCTCAATAGCATAAAATGCCTCATATTTATTTTCTCGTTTGCTTTTGTCTTTCCAAACAATAATAATCATTGCATTAGTACAATTTCTTAAAAAAAACCTTTTATTAGATTTTCTAATGGTAATAATTAATTATATTTTGTTTTTATTCAGGAGCCCAATGAGGAAACCCCAAAGTCACTTTATCACATTGCTGCTGCTCTGCTTCACCATAACCTGATAGAGCTGGAAGATCTCTACGTACATGTAAGAAAGAGGAGCAGATACTCGTCACATTAGTTTATATATGTAGAACTCATTTGTTTTTACTGAAATATTTGGTCTTTCGTTGCCTCTCTTGTCATTCTAGCTTATGCCAGTAGATGCCACCATCGTAGAGGAACACAAACGGGATATCACAGAGGCCAAACAGATTGCCCGCAAGCTGGTCATGGTGGTGTTGCCCTCGGAGAAAAGTGAAGACAAAGACAAGGAGAAAGAAAAGGAGGAGGAGAAGAATGACAAGGTATCAAAGCATGTGTGAAAATATAAGCCTGTTCTGGAGGAATGGATGGATATTTAGTTCCTCTGCTGTGACTGCTTTACTTATTGTTAATCCTTGACATTAAAAAGGACAAAGGCACTCAGTTGCTGCTCTTTTTCTGTGCTCACAGCCCCCTGATAACCAGAAGCTCGGTCTGCTTGAGGCGCTTCTACGGATTGGAGACTGGCACCACGCCCAGAGTATTATGGACCAGATGCCGTCCTTCTACGCTACATCTCACAAAGCCATCGCGCTGGCACTCTGCCAGCTTGTGCACCTGACTGTGGACCCTCTTTACAGGAGGTACTGACTTTTCTTTTCATATTTCACCTTCTGCGCAGTATGTGTTGTCTGACCAGTAAGCATGCACAATTACCTCTTGTCACTAGCTGGAGCTGTCAACTTCTACTAATGCCAACATTTTATGAATGCAAATAAGAAAGCTACAAAAAGAAAATGCAGGCTCTGACAAACAGGTCTGTTCTTCGCAGGTCGGGCCTCCCTAAAGGGGCAAAGGGGCGTGTAATTCACCCACTGAGGAACAAGCGGGCCCCTCGGCCTGCAGAGAACTTCGAGGACCTGCGCAGGGACACATTTAGCATGATGTGCTACCTGGGCCCGCACCTCTCCCATGACGCTATCCTCTTCGCCAAGATCGTGCGTCTGGGCAAGGGCTTCATGAAGGAGGTACATAAGTGTCACCACAAAAATGTTACATCTGCACGCAAGCCTACATCTCCTTTTTCCAAAACTCATATTCGGTGTTGTTTTCTTCCCAGTACCAAAGTGAAAACAGACCTGATGCCCGAGAGAAAATGGTAGGTTGAAAACCAATATCTGACTAACGCTGCTACAAAAAGAGAACTGTAGATATGCATTATAATATATGCACACATGGATGAGACAGGTGGTCATTTTGACTGTAAGGACCCAATTAATGTTGACTTTTTGCCCTTTTGCAGGAAACTCTATTGAGTTGTTTCCTGTGCATTGCAGACCAGGTGCTACTCCCTTCTCTTTCTCTGATGGAGTGTAATGCTTGCATGTCTGAGGAAGTGTGGGGTCTCTTCAAACTCTTTCCCTACCAGCACAGGTGAGATATACACACACACACACACACACACACACACACACACACACACACACACACAGACTCACTCTCCATGTGGCTCTGTTTAATTAAGCTGTGGGATAGTAAACCCTCAGGCACCGCTCCAGGATGCTGTTTACTAGCTGGCAAGAGGGCACACAATCACACTGAGCTCATCAAGCCGTGCTTCATAGTTTGAAATGTGTGTGTTGTTTAGCAGACCATCTTTCCTGCTCTCGCACCATGTTAGAATTCTTTTTTTAGGGGTCTAAATACTGCTTAGTACATCACTGATGAGCAATGACAACCAAAAAGGTTAAGCTTTCTTTTAGTTTTCTGTGTCCTTTTGTCACAGCTAATAACATGATTATTTACTAAGTACAGCAGCACTTTGTAGATTATACAAGACCATGTCAATGCTGTCAAAGCAAGGGTTTATCGTCAAGTTAAACAGGACATGTAGTGCAGTTCATTTATCCTCTAGCAGTGTCTTGTGTATTATCCAGTGGTTTTCTCTTTGTGCTGAATTTGAATGCATCTCGCTTTTTAATTCCTTTACATCGCCTTTCTCAAAATATGACACACAGCAAATGATTTGATGTGTTTTCAGTTAAGGAGTTTTTTATTTAACTGACTGCAAATGAGGTGGAAATTAACATGCCAGCTGCCATGAAGAAAGTCTGTGGATTTATTATACTGCAAAGTGCCTTATTCTGAATGCTTTAGAGCCAGACCTTCTGTTTATTGTGCTTCCTCTATCTTTGCTCAGGTACCGGTTATATGGACAGTGGAAGAATGAGACGTACACAAGCCACCCACTGTTGGTTAAAGTCAAAGCTACGACTGTGGAAAGGGCCAAATACATCATGAAGTAAGTTGTTTTGCAGATCCCAGTGTACCATCATTGATCCATCGTCTGTCTTTGTGTAGCTTCGGTTATCTTTTGCTGTGTCTCCAATCCAAACACGGGGCTGTGTCTGGTTGTTTAAAATATGTATCTATTAGTTTCCCCAGCTGTCCTGCTCTGTTCAGCAGACCGGTGCTTTACTTGGAAAAGAGAAAGTAAACCTTGAATTTATGGGCCGCCTTTCCTATCCATTCAATTTGCTGGTCCTCGCATAGTGACACATTTTGGACAATCAATTCAGCTCTCAAAACAACACTATCAGCAGAAATTCGCTATCATCAGTACATCAAGGCCATTCCTTCATTGTTGTTGTTGTTGTTGTTTTCTAGTCCTTCTGTGGGGCAGCCATTGAATTTGCCAGATCATTCTACTTGCAGACAATTTAGCAGCAAATAGCAAAACTATTAATATCATATTGAAATTCTTAAATAATCTAATTGAATCAAAAGTCACTCAATTGGTTTGACTTGATTGAATAGTAAAGACATGTCTTAATGAACCACCAGACACAGAGACAGTTTCATCTCCATAAGACCATTAAACACCCGAGCTTGCACTATTTGTAATGTTGTTTTTTTATATTTATTCTTTTATGTCTTGTAAATTGCTGATGATACTGTTGAGGAACCTGCGATCTAAGTTTTCATACATTACATAATTAGACCCTAGTTTTGTATATGTTATGACAATAAACCTTTGAATCTTTGAATCTAATGTTTTTTTCCCCCATCCCTCCTAAGCTAAGATGTATACAAAATAGCAGTTTAGTCAAACAACACACAGACACAAAAATGTGACTTGCAAACCTGTGTTTCTGTGCTGGTGAAGTTATTATTCTAACACTGTTCTGCCTTTGAAGAAATCAGTGACTTTTATCTTGAACTGACAACCGTAACAGCATTTCCCAATTGCTGTGAAGCTCACAGAAGTGACAGTCTTGGCTAACAGCGCTTTCTGCATCGTCTTGTTTTTAATCTCCTGTTTCTCTACTTGTTTTTTTCTCCCCAGGCGTTTGACCAAAGAGAATGTGAAACAATCTGGAAGGCAGATTGGAAAGCTGAGCCATAGCAATCCCACCATCCTCTTTGATTATGTGAGTTTATTTTTCTATGACTTGTTTATTTAAGGCGAGACACGGCAGGCAAAAACATCGTTTTTCAAGTACTGGTCAATTTTGAGATTTTGTGCTATTTTGATTCCATAACATGTTTTCTTTCAGGCTTTTGGAAGGAAAACGTACAAAATACACATTTAAGTGTTTATTTTACTATAGTTTGTCTATTTGCGTCTGTAGATTTCTCCTAAATTCACCAAAAGTTAGCATTCTAACGTAACATAAAGTACCGCGACCGCTGTGTGCACCATGTCAACAGAGATATCGCTGGAAAGCTGTGTCTCTCCTGCACAATCTCATCGGATCCAAATATGGTCATTTCCTTTGTATCAGCAACCAATCGTGAAAGCACAAAGGGGTCTTAAACCAAGAAACGAAATCTCATTGGCTGGTGTCAATTTCTGACAACGTGATTCGTTCAGATGCGTCACGTGGTGTGCTAAAACACTTCCTGGTTAGCTTTCCGCTAGAAATTGAAATCTCAAAATTCCAAAAGAACGGCGAAAAAAACATTCACAGAGAAGACGACAACAATTGTCACTTGCACGAAGCAAGGTTATACAAAAAACAAATAACCCCGAACATGAAATACCTTCACGGGGTGCGTCGATGCGCAAGCTGTCATCCAAAGAACAGGAGGGTTTAGCTAGCTTCTCACTGCAATCTTTAAAGGTCGTTTTCTCAAAATGAGTTTTTTCTCCTACTCTGAGTTCGAAATTTCAACTTCAGTAGCACGTACATACACCAAACCTTCCAGTTATATTCCCATCAATATTATGAAGGCTTTTACAGAAGGGTTTGTTCATATATCATTCATAGCCTGAATTATACAACATTTTATACCTAAAAACATGGCGAAAATGGATATTTTAGGGCTGTTGACAGTATTTTCTGATTTATGGAGTGATAAAAATAGATATCCAAAATCCCTTCTGTAACAGCCTTATATACTAATATGACTACAAAATGAAACAATAATTTTGAACCTGGCTTTATCCAAAGTTCAGATTTCGATTCCTGAAATGTGTTAAAATATGTGCATATTTAATGAGATAATGGATAATTTGCATATTTAAACATGCTATTTCAGAAAACTTGTAATACAAAAGACAATTGCCTTATTGTAAGTAATTAACTGGAGAAATTTCTAGCTGATACCGTTAAGTTAAAAAAATTACCCTATTCACCTGGGGTGTCTCGCCTTAGGTAGCATTTTGAATAAACAGCATACGAAGACAGATTTGGCCAGAGACAAATAATCAGTGTTTAACAGCATGTGCTCCGTATAGTTAATGCATTTTCTGGTTATATATCAAGCTGAATGAATCAAAATAAATGACTATAATATTTGTATTATTATTAAGTGTCCATCAATGTCCAATTGTATTTGTAGAAGTTCTAAGAAATGCAATTACAATATTGAAGATGCACAAATGAACATTGTTTTAATATAAATAATCTTGGCAAATACAGAATTCGTAGGACAATTTAGATTGGTCGATCTTTTTGACCGCATCCGCAACCAACTTGAGCAGTTATTCCAAACACGACTCCCCAGACATTCTCTTTTCTACCCTGATCTGTGGATGCACATGAACTAAAAGGATGCGCACATGAACTAAAAGGATGCGCACATGTGTTTGGCCTCTCAGTCACGTAAAGGGATAGTGTCTGTTGTAATGTGTTCCCCTGTAGTTATTGATGTGTTCTCCTCTCCTCTGTCCTGTTATACATCAGATGCTGTCTCAGATCCAATGGTACGACAACCTCATCGTTCCAGTGGTGGACTCCTTGAAATACCTCACATCCCTCAACTACGATGTCTTGGCCTGTATCCTACTCTATATTTCTGTGTGTGTGTGGCAGTGGGATGTGAAGGTCTTCTTTCCATTTTCTAAGTTGTTTTTACTTAACTCTGCCTTAAGATTGCATCATTGAGGCTCTGGCTAATCCTGAGAAAGAGAAGATGAAGCACGACGACACCACAATCTCCTCGTGGCTTCAGAGTAAGTGGCTTCACACTTAGCGTCCAGCAGTCACATCATGTATTTGCTTACAAAGGAGAGAATCTGACGTACACCTCTTTGTCTTTTTAACCCAGGCTTGGCAAGTCTGTGTGGAGCCGTGTTCAGAAAATACCCCATTGAGTTGGCTGGCCTTCTTCAGTATGTCACCAATCAGCTGAAAGCAGGGAAGAGGTAAGAAGCTCCAAACGATAAATAACAGGTTGACCGGTTTGCATTGGTTTTATATTATACCTTTGTGTTGGGAAGAGTACAAAGTGGTTTTATACACCCCATGCCTGACAATTGCTTCAATACGTCCCTCGTCTTTCTGCAGTTTTGACCTGTTGATTCTGAAAGAGGTGGTGCAGAAAATGGCTGGCATCGAGATCACTGACGAGATGACCTCAGAGCAGTTAGAGGCCATGACCGGAGGGGAGCAACTCAAAGCTGAGGTAAATGGACTCGACTGCAGTGATCATATCTTGATGCAGTCTCCTGAGCAAGATATGTATGACTTACAGTGCTGAACCTAAGCTTACATAATTTATGTCTCTGTCAACAGGGTGGCTACTTTGGTCAGATCAGGAACACTAAGAAGTCGTCACAGCGTCTGAAGGATGCGCTGCTGGACCACGAGTTGGCCCTGCCTCTTTGTTTACTCATGGCCCAGCAGCGAAATGGTGTGGTTTTCTTAGAGAGTGGCGAGAAACATCTTAAACTTGTTGGCCACCTCTATGACCAGGTATGCAACCTTCTCTTAATATATTAATGTCGTTTTTTTTTTACGTTTTTCTTCCTAAACAATTCAAAGTTCCTGAATTCACACTCCACCCACTTTGTATCAGAACAATCTCTTTTTCTCCTGATTGTATTCTTTGTATTCCTGCAGTGTCATGACACGTTGGTGCAGTTTGGTGGCTTTCTGGCCTCCAACCTGAGCACTGAGGACTACATCAAGCGGGTTCCCTCCATTGACATCCTTTGTAACAAGTTCCACACTCCCCATGACGCTGCCTTCTTCCTGTCTCGACCAATGTACGCCCATCAGATTCTGGTGAGTAAAACACTGTCAGAGCCCGGTTGTGCATTTCGTCACGTTTCTGATATTTCTTCTTAATATTCAAGACAATGATCAGGTATACATGTTGGTTAGATTTTAAATGTGGCGCTTCTGATTTGACTTTGACTATTCAACTCCCTTAAAGCTGAAACTATTTCAAATCAAGACAAGCACAAGTTTATTGATTTGGAGAAAATGGAGCCCTCATTTGAAGCTCTCTCCACACAGTCTAAATACGACGAGCTGAAGAAAGCAGAGAAAGGTAACCGGCAGCAGCAGAAGGTCCACAAGTACGTGGCAGCGTGTGAGACGGTGATGACTCCGGTGCATGAGGCCGTAATGTCCCTCCATCCGGCCAGGGTCTGGGACGACATCCGCCCTCAGTTCTACGCCACCTTCTGGTCCCTCACCATGTACGACCTGGCCGTGCCACATTCTGCCTACGACCGCGAGGTCAACAAGCTCAAGGTCCAGATCAAGGCCATCGAGGACAACTCCGAGATAGTGAGTACTTCAGACACAGCTGTTTCTAAAAGGAAACTCAGATCATTCAATGCAAAGGAGTGCAAGATTCAGTGATTGTGTAAGAAATGTAAAATATTCTGACGATTGTATGTTGCTGTCAATGTATTTATTGTGTGAATATTCTTTCATCCCAACGTAGCCCATGAATAAGAAAAAGAAGGAGAAGGAACGCTGCACCGCCCTGCAGGAGAAACTGCAGGAGGAGGAGAAGAAGCAGCTGGAGCACGTCCAAAGGGTTCTGCACCGCCTCAAGCTGGAGAAAGACAACTGGTTGTTGGCCAGTAAGTATTCTGGTTTTGCTGCCAATGACACAATTGATGCATCTTACTCTGCGTATGGACCGTCTTCCACAATACTGTGAAGAAGACGGTCCTTCAATAAGAGTATGATTAGTCTTTGAAGTACATTTATACACCTTAACACACATTCAGCCACATTAATTACAATGCGCAGGTCCGGTTCCTCCCGAAAAAAATATACAGCAATTAAATGAATGGAATTAAAAGAATACTTCACCCACAAAATGACAATTTGTTTATCAATTACTCGTGTTACCTTAAATTTGTACAAAAATGTGCTCACTACTTACTGAACACATACATTTTGTTTGTAAACGGATGTTCTGATATAGTTTTGCAATTCATCAAGAATTTTCTCCGTTTTTGTACTCATCATTCACCTTGGAGGCATGCAAGAAAAACAAAGTTTCCAAGAATTCAAAGTAACAAAGGGTGAGTAATTAATATAAAAATGGTCATTTTGTGGGGGAAGTATTGCTTTAAGCTTCCAGAAGGACAGAACCAATGGCTAAAACATGTGGTTGTGCACAATGTTCATATATTTTACAAGCAAGAGAAGTTCAGTTACAGTCCAGACACAATAAGACTATTAATGTAGTTAAGGGACATCGAGGCAAGGCTGGTCATGTCATTGCCATGATCACAGTGCCGATGTAGGGGGTGAAACAAATGTCTGAATTTAAATAACCCACCTGTCTCTGTTATTAATACAACTTTAAATTCTTACTGACAGAATCCACAAAGAACGAGACCATAACAAAGTTCCTGCAGCTCTGCCTGTTCCCGCGCTGCATCTTCTCTTCCATCGACGCCGTGTACTGCGCCCGCTTCGTGGAGCTGGTCCACCAGCAGAAGACGCCCAACTTCTGCACCCTCCTGTGCTACGACAGGGTAAGACGCGCATATATATCTCCGTCTTACAGTGAATGCAACTACAATTCATTTTCAAAGCAGTTTTCCTCAATTAGAAAGGAACAACATATTGACTATGTGGTTAGTAAAAGGACTGTAATTTGTGTCAATACTCTGATACTCAATATTTAATGGTTTAACAACCCTAATAAAAGCCTAAAAGGGACCTTCAATAGCTGCTCGATCATTAAGACTATTTGTGTAACATTCAGTCAGACTCCCAAAGGAGTGCAGCTCTAGGATATTGAACATCACATCTTTGAGTTACTATCTGGCAAAATATATATATATATTTTTTTTTGTATGCAACTCATTTTAAAGATGTTATTTATACCTTGTTTTGAAAGCGTACGCACTACATTGTGTCCCCCTGCAGGTGTTCTCCGCCATCATTTACACTGTGGCCAGCTGTACGGAGAACGAGTCTCATCGCTACGGACGCTTCCTCTGCTGCATGCTGGAGACGGTGACCCGTTGGCATAGCGACCGTGCGATCTATGAGAAGGTGTGCATCTCTTCCTGTTCTCTACACCTGTCACTTGCATGCATCTTCTTTTGCACTTTTCCTGGCCGATTCCAATATTTGGAAAGTCTGCCTATACCTTTTGTTCTTATCTTGACCCATAGTTTGTTTACTAATAAATGGTTTATATTGTCTTCTGTTATTTTGTAATCAAAACCCTGTTTTTGAAGTTAGTCGAGGGCTTGTTTTGAAATCCCAAGCTTTATATCTTCATTCATGCTACACGGCTTCTGCCATCACACGGCATGTGTCTAAAATCTGATATATCTGACCAGTGGCAGATCTATCGGTGCATCTCTACATGCAGCATTTTGTGCTTAACGAAGAGCTGGGAAGTAAGTTGTTTCTTGTTTTTGTGTGACCATAGGAGTGTGTAAACTACCCTGGCTTCCTGACCATCTTCAGAGCTACAGGCTTTGACGGCGGGAACAAAGCAGACCAATTGGATTATGAGAACTTCAGGCATGTGGTGCACAAATGGCACTACATGCTGACTAAAGTGAGCTGCTCTTCCTTTTAAATATTTGTCTTCCATCTAGATATTGGCAGTTGAATTCCCATTGAAGGTGTGTTTTGTGTTTAATCATGCCCTCTCTCCTTCCAGGCCTCAGTTCACTGCCTGGAGACCGGAGACTACACCCACATCCGGAACATTCTCATCGTGCTCACCAAGATCCTGCCCTGCTACCCCAAAGTCCTGAACCTCGGCCAAGCGCTGGAATGCCGAGTCCACAAGATCTGCCTCGAGGAGAAGGACAAGAGGCCAGACCTCTATGCCTTAGCAATGGGGTAACACAGCGCTGTGTGCTGTTCAGCTCTCTTTACTTTCTCTCTCTACTTCTTGAAGTTTTGTTAAAGATATCTATCCGGAGACCTATGAGGGGATAGTGGTGACTGTGGCAAATGTTTGAGTTTCATTATGTTAAGGGGTGGTCAGACAGTCTGTTGAAGTTTTTAACAATTAACAAGATGGCTGCCTGTGTGTTATATTTGTGTCTCTAGAGTGGACATGTTAGACCATTTTTCTACAGTCTATAGTTCAGCCTTTGAGTTTCGATCAACCGTTATAGGGCAAATCAGTATTACTTGATATTCTTAGATCTTTATTACATAGATACTGATCACGATGGGGGGCCGGGCTTAATTTACTGATTACCCTTGTCTCTTTTAAAAAGGGTATCTTTTTTTATGTCAACTTTTGTGTGTGCATTGTGCAAACCCTTTATGCATCTTGCAGTTATTCAGGTCGCTTGAAAAGCCACAAGGCGCACATGGTCCCTGAGAACGAGTTTCACCACAAGGAGCAGCCGGCGCGCAGTGCCACCCCCGCCAGCCTGCAGAACGGCCCCGGCAGCACGGGCAAGCCCGTCAGCGGGACCAGCAAGACCGATGAGGGGACGTCAGAGGACGTTGGTGAGTGACCAGAACATAGATGCAGCACATAACCATTGAATGAATTCACAAATAAGGGACCAGATAGCATTCGTGCCACCATTCCTAATAAGCATGCCAGTCAAATGAATAGCCTGTGTGCTCATACAGTTGTTGGTTTGATTCTGTGCAGATCGGGGCAAGGATAAAGCTCAGGGCACGACAAAGCCAGTGAACAAAGCCAACAGTGCAGCAGCCAAAGTGACCACCAGCAACGGGAACGGTGCTCTCAACAGGTAGTCATCCCAAGAGCTGCTTTCACACTTAACTACCACAATTTATGTTTCTAAACAGCATCAAACATACATTCAATAGTATTGCCTCTCTCTTGTTGCTTTTGCCGGTCAGTCTGTTTATAATGCAACCTTTCGAATGATGCATTTTGAACATTCATCCCTTTGCAGCACCAAAGCTGTCAAAGAACGGGACGACAAAGAGAAGAGCGGCAAGGAGAAAAAGGAGAAAAAGGAAAAGACAGCAGGCAGCACTCCTGAGACAAAGGCAGAGAGCCGTCGGGAGAAGCTGAGAGACGAGAGGCCAGGGAAGGAGGAGCGACCAGCACGTGAGGGTAAGGAAAAGACCCCCAAGGCAGACAGGGAGAAAGTGAAGGCCGAGGAGAAGAGCAGCAAAGACGACAAGGCCAAAGCCGGCAACGGGGAGCCTGCGGAGCCATCCAGGGAGCGAGACGCCACCAAGGAGTCCAAGAGCAAGGAGAAAGGAGAGCGGAGCGCTGTGACCGCGACCATCAAGTCACCGATTCCCAGATCAGAGTCAGCCGAATCTGAGAGGGGTAAGGGGCCTCGCTGGTTGTCAGTCCACACCTTTAACCCCTGTTGGACACTGTTGTTTTCTGTTGTGATACGACATGGAGTCTGATGCTCTGTCATCTCTTCACATTTCAGTCTGACAATGTACTCGCCCCTACAACACTTCTGTCCGTCGCTGCTTTTTGTGAATGTTGAACGTGCAGCCCCATTAAAAACTATTTGTTTTTGTCTTTCTAGATCACAAAAGACGAAAGCTCGACAGTCACTCTTCTCCGTCCCACTCCTCGTCTGTTAAGGTTAGTATGGCTTGAGGAAGGCTGTGCCAGTTTCTTCTCTATCTGCCGGAGCGTTCCCTGCCGTTGCACATTCCAGCAGCCCCTGAAGATCACCGAGGAGAGTTGTCATGCAGGCATCGCATCTGGAACCCCAACCAAATCCATGGGAGTTGGAAAGCATTCCATGGACATCAGCATAATATTTTGCAGAATTGGGAGAAAAACGCCCTCAAAGACTTAGCCAAGAGAATATTGTGTATATAGAGTATTTTCATATTGAATTATGTATCTATTTTTATATTAATGAAAGCAGTCAGTGTGCCCTGGGAAGAAAGAAGTTTTCTACGTGTTTCTATATTCCTCGTGGATTTTTTTTTTTGCTTTTTGAGAATAATATCCTGAAGTAAAATGGCTTGCCAAATCAAGAGCTCTTTCTCCAGTGGCTGCTTTTTTCGTTGTTTTTTTTAACATCAGAAGCAGAGTTTTACTACTTGAAATTGTGCCCAAGATTTTCCCCCCTGTTTTTGCGAGCTGAGAAGATATCCTGGTTAAAGAGATGTAAAGTGTTTTACTATTGCCGTCGAAGTCCCTGGGTCCTGCACAGAGTCGAAAGGTGTCCAGCAGTCAGCTGATCGTCGGTCCCCCGTCTGTCCGTTTGTTAAAACGGCCTGCATGCTGCCGCTTCACGTCGCACGACGCCCCCCAAGTCAGAGGTGCCGGCCCCACAACGCTGCCCCCAAGTCAGAGGTGCCGGCCCCACAACGCTGCCCCCACAGCCTCCAGCCGTCAGCAGCAACAGTCGCACTACCTCCTGGCAAGCCACCAGCTGCTGAGATCAACTGAGAAAATGAATGTCGCAGTTTTGAATGAGCCAAAAATGCTGCTGAAAGTAAGCCTGCCCCTACAGAGAGAGAGAGAGAGAGAGAGTGAGAGAGAGGGAGTGAGGGAAAGAGCGGGTGAAGCCTGAAGCGTCTGGAGCGTTGCCCAATCCGCTGGGAGCTTGTGATGATAGGTCTTTATTGTACCCTTCCACCAGAGAAATAGGCCCTGTGTCTTATCCATTCCTGAACTGTAAGTGACAGCAACAGTTACCTATGTAGGGATGCAGCCAAGCACATAGGAATTAAGTGATTTGTCGCATACACACAGGCACACACACAGACACACACATTAATCACAGCACTTGCACTTTAGATGTATTGAACACCAGCTGCGCTGTAGACTTCTCTATACGATGCTGTCTGATATCACAGACCTGTCTGTAGTGCTATGGCTAGCAGTAATCTCATACATGCTCAGGGTTTTCTATTTTAAATATTGACATTCCAGATGTTGAGCTCATGAACTCTCCTTTATGTAATAACCTTGTCAAAGCCTTAGTCCTTGAAGGTCAGAGGTCAAGGGAGAAGTACGCTGTTGGTCCGGCCAACCCCCCCTGCCCCCTTCTTCCAACTCTCTACTGCTGTCTGACAACCTCCTTCCAAAACCCCTCCACCCCCCCACAGCTCATCTGTCATCTCCATTCATCCCCACAGGACAATAGCAACGAACCCAAGGACTCCACATCCAAGGTTTGCACCCACTCTGCACGTTCTTTACACTGTCTGTTTTCTGCTGCTGACCAAAAGTCATTTCAAATGTCTTTTCTCCACCTCATGTTTTTGTATCCCCACTTTTTAAAAAGCACTGTATGGATTGATTCACATGTCAATATAAGCAATTTGTTGGTTGTAAAAACCAAATCAAGTAGTTAAGACGCCCACTTCACTACAAGCAAGCCTTTTCTAATATTACATATTATCATTTTATTGAGTAGCTTACCTTTAAGGTTCAAGATGAACTTTGACAGTTCATTAAAGCCAACTTGAACAATACAGAAAAACACCAGTTTTGGGTTTCTTCAGGTTGGTCACAATGTTGAACGTAATGGGGGTTTTGACTCTGACGAACAGAAAAGTAAGATTATTTTCTACCAAAAAGACCTAATATTTAGTAGAGACAACTTGATTCTGTTGGTCAGTGTCTATGTGAAATATGAATTCATGGTTTATTGTTGGACATTTTAAACTTTAAATCTTACAACATGACAAAAGCATTTCATTTTTCACTGAATGCTCTCTGTTATTATCCCAGTCACATTTATTGTTAGACATCACTTTATCCCACATCAACATCTTTGCAACACGTTACTAAAACACAAACTGTACAGCTGTCTTTCATTATTTCGTCATTCATTATCATTACCCTGTTTTTTTAAATGTAGTATGATACATTATTGACAACTGTGTAGAAATATATTTCAACTTACTATCTTGGATATTTAGTTTAGCTGTGAATTGATTCATCACGTATCCCCTGCCGAGTCCTGTTTCACAAACACAGTGGAATTAATCCAATTGTTTCTAATAGTTCAATCCTTAGTTTGGACACATGGGCATGTTGTGAAACGTTGTGAGCTTGATCAATACTGTGTTTGCAAATGTATTTTAAATATATATATATGGTAGATATGTGCACGACAATATGTTACCATTACATATCTGGAACTGCTCAGATGAAATGGTCATCTCGCACTTGTTCTTGATCTGATGCAGGGTGTTATTTGTAAAACATTAAGATGACGTGGCATTCTGTGTAAATGCACTCCTGACAATATAAAAACTTTCATTCTTCTCGTTCTGTTCAAATATAATTGCCTCCGCAGCACCACGCCAACTACAACTCAGTATCCCGGTCCAAGAGCAGAGAGAGGGAGACGGAGAAGAAAGAGTCAGACGCGAGCACACAGGGCCGCTCCAAAGAGAAGAAGGAAGAGAAGGAGCGCAAAGAGAGGAAAAGAGTCAGTACTGAACAACAGCATGTTTTGGGGACATGTCCTCCTTTGGACCTTTTCCCTCCTTGCTATAATCTTCTAAAGCCGTTGTTCAGAGAGGATAGCGAGTGACGGTTTCATACAGCCTATGGTCAGGATGTCTTGTCCCCATCACTAATGTCCTGCTGTTTCTCTTGTAGGACCATCTTATCAATGAACGAGAGCCGAGCCTCGAGTCCAAGCGCAGAAAGGACGAGAATGGAACAAGTATGTTTCTCTTTGGACAAATCGCATGTAAACATTCGCCAGGCAAGTTCAGTTTAACAAAACTAACTCAATCTTCTCTTCTCAGATTCCTCCAAAAACAGCAAGAGTGAGAGTCCTTCCTGCGACTCCCCGCTTTCCACTGAAAAAGAGAAGACCAAAAGATCCAAATCTTCCAGCAAAGAGAAGACGGACTCTGTGAAACCTGAGCGGACTTCCTCCGGAGGCAAAAAGGTGTGTGAAGTGCATTATTACTGATGACCTGCAGTCCCTCCTCTAAACATGAGTCAACATGCATTCTTATAGCTTTTATTGTTAATGTAAATGAATGCTAATAATTCATGCAGCTTTATTTCCATTACGTCTGTTTTCAATTCATACTTCGTTGTTTTCTTATTTAACAGGAGTCCAGGCACGATAAGGAGAAATCTGAAAAGAAGGAGAAGAGGGACAGCAGCGGGAAAGAAGAGAAAAAGCAATATCCTTAAACGTAAACCGCCATATATATCATTATTGAGAGTTATTTGTTCTGTGTGAATATTTTAAACTTAAAGGTATGGAGTCTTTTAAAATAGTATTTTTGTAACTTCACATGAACAGTTGGGGTTTCCTGTTTGTGATGTATATAGCTAGTTGTTTTGAACACAATGTAAACATTTGCAATTGAACATGTGTTAAGCACAGCCACTCGGTGTGACACTAAAAGCATCCTGAGCAGTTACTGTCAGAGATGGTACTCATGCTGAGTAGCATCGGGCAGCCTGCAGAGAGGACTGTGCCGAATCTGTGCACTTATCCTCGGCCTATAACCATTCAATGTTAATTTGAGCTTTTAACTGGAGGCACAGCTCTGTCTGGCTGTTACTGCAGCCCGTCCTGATCCCACATGCAGTGTGAGGAGAAGCAACCATGTCCCTCAGACTGTTGTTCAGCAGCCTGACTGCTTAAGGGCTCGACTTAGGTCTAGAACAAAGCTGATTTTATTTTTTTACCATCAAAAACACATTTCATTCTTTGGATTTATTTCCCTTAACTATCATACTCATAAATCCTCTGACAAGCACAGATAATGTGCACTGATCCATGGAGGTAAGACACATACACCGTCTTTGCACACAGCTCTCAATACGACCCCTCTCCGGTCAGTGTCTCACGTTGTCTCTCTCTGATCCCCAGCAGAACTGGAGAAGCTGTTTTTATCTGCGAGGCATCTGCAACACCCCCCCACCCCCGTGCTCCTGTTGGCTCGTACTCTCATTTCTGCCCGTGTTGTTTTGCTGTAAACTCCCGAGTGTTGTTAGCTGTAGTTATTTCAACTTACAGAGCACCTCATTTTGTTTCCATTTCAGTATAAAGTGAACCCACTGAAATGCTTTTGTTTTTATTATTCAGTACGGGCACAATGTGCTGCTCTATCACAATGTTATTATTCTGAGTAGAAACATGGTTACTGTATGAAATGATCTCTGGGTCATGTATTCAATAATCTCATGCTTGAAATATGTGTCTTTTTTTTTTTGTACGTTGTCAGGCTTTGCTTTTTGCTCGTTTTAATGGAGTTAACATGCTTTCCATACTCACTTACCTCATATCCTTTCGAGATACTTAGATATTTTTTATTTATTTATCTCCAACTTTTAATCCGAGTTAGAACGTAGACGTAAGTGAGGAAAATGATACAAAGGACCAGTTTGTATATTGTGTACAATAATAAAGAGGATAACATGGAATTCACATCATGTTATTTCTTCTTTTCTTTTCTTTTTTGATGTCCCTAAAGTCCTTTTGTGATTTTGTGTTAATCAGGTTTTTACATAATTTATAAAATGCCACTTCGACCTTGATTCAAATGTAGAGTTGTTAAGAAAAATCTGACAAAACAATTCTGACACTCTGTACTCCAAATGTTTCAAAATGTCTTTTGGAGATTTTATCTGCTGTACTCAATGAGTGTAAGCTTTTTTTAAAAACAATAAACGATAGTTTTCCTAGTGTGTCCCTTTGATATTGTCTCCTTCCTTTCCCTTCTTCCTTCCACAAACATTATCTAAAGAATATTTTTCAGCGGCTGTAATGCCATGAAAACATTCATCGTGTAGTTTGCCAAAAATGTTAACAAAAACAAAAGGGAAAAAGACAACATAAAAATGATATAGTATATTTTGTCAAAAAAAGTTGAAAAATACAACATTATTTTGAAAAAGAACAGGAAACGTAAAGTATAGTATGTCGAAAGAATCTGAAATCAACATAAAATGGTATGTTGAATTTTTTTTAACAAAAACACAGTATATAGCGTGCCGAAAATTCAGAATGGTATAGTATTTATTTAAATCTTAAAAACCGAAGAAGCATACTACACTGAACAAAAATATAAACGCAACACTTTTGTTTTTGCTCCCATTTTTCATGAGATGAACTCAAAGATCTAAAACATTTTCTAAATACACAAAATAACCATTTCTCTCAAATATTGTTCACAAACCTGAAAAAATCTGTGATAGTGAGCACTTCTCCTTTGCCGAGATAATCCATCCCACCTCACAGGTGTGGCATATCAAGATGCTGATTAGACAGCATGATTATTGCACAGGTGTGCCTTAGGCTGGCCACAATAAAAGGCCACTCTGAAACGTGCATTTTTGCTTTATTGGGGGGGTCCGAAAACCAGTCAGTATCTGGTGTTAGGGTAATGTTGTGAATCGAGTGGCCCATGGTGGTGGTGGGGTTAGGGCAGGGGTACTCAAATACAAATCTTAAAGGTCCAAAATAAATGTTTCAATAAGACAAAGGTCCGTTTATTACGGTCATTCAAACTTTTAAACAATTGCAACAAGATTCTTAACACGAGGTTGCAAAAACAAAAATAATCTGTATGCAGCAGTTTTCATTGTTGTTGTGTCTGTGCTTGACCCCTCAGAGTCGCAGTGTAAGAGCTGCACAGTTAGGAATAAAGGCAGCCGCACCCTCTTTCATTCAGCATTCCCATTATTGCTTTATAAATGTATTCCCCCTTGTGTGTCCACTGAGGTTCGTCAGGCCCAACACATCTTCAGCAAACTCCCCCTTTGCCTCATCATAACAACTCACAAACACCAGCAACTGAGCATTGTGAGTGGTGTGAGTGGACTCACCCACAGCTAAGGAAATGCACTGTGCATTTTTTATTCCATCACAAAGCTGATGAATCAAATCACCAGCCAGTATTTATGTTCTTCTGGTTGCTGTGCAATCTGAGAGGGGATTTGCTTGATTTGACCTGTTATTTCCTCTTTTTGTTTGCCTTCAACATGGTCTCCATCACTTCAGTCATGCATTCTTTTATACTGCAGTTATTATCCAGTGGAAAGCCCTTACCTACTGGCCTAGTTAAATCAAAGTGGTTACTTTTTTTTGGCTGGGCAGTGTAGTTTTACACACCGTCTGATTTGACTTTCTCAGGACTTAAAACAGTTTTTTGGGGGAAGACCCCCTCAAAGAAAACAATATATTTACACACGTAAGGTCATCATCTTAACAGTTGTGTATGCTCATCCGTGAGCAGAGCATCAAGTTGACATGTCTATTACAGCTGAATGCGGCGATTACCATTTTGTTCAGCAAAACGCCTCACAGACGTATTAAGATCAACAGCTTTAGTGCGTTTTGATTCAATGCTGAGTACAGCCACACTGACAGTATCTTCTCTGTCATTGTAGACCACAAATACCTCATTCCTTCAGTGCTTGAGTCCGAATGCTTCTCGTTTTGCGCCGTCCAGTTCAAAGTGAAATCGCCGCCAATCATATGTCCACGCTCGCGCCAGGACCCGGGGAGGGGTTACATGACGCGCATCTTGTGCTGCATTCACTTGCACTCGGACATTAGAGACTTTCTCTCATAAATGTCCGATGGGCCACAACTTTTCTTTTAAAACAAAGCTGCCAACTGGGGTGGCAGCTGGGGTGGCAAGGCCTATTTTTAGGGTGTCAGTTGCCGCCCCGGAAGGTGAAACTAGGCTACTAGCTACAGTACAGATGGAACTAGATGAGCTGTTAACTCTCGCTCTGAATTTTTTTTTTTAAATTCTCGCTCTGACTTAGACAGGTTGAAAGAGATACACACATTTTTCCCACCCGCAGTCCGCGAAGACCCGCCCTACTGTGCCTCTGATTCGCAGATTGTTTGGGGGGGAAAAACGCTGACTGGATGCTGAATGTGATTGGACCAAAGCGTTGACACACACAGGTGGAACACAGTGGAACAGTCAGACATGCAGAGCGCTGTTTGCAGTGGACATAGCGGAGAATTTTGACTCGTTGCGAATGCGTTGTGGCGATGTCTCACATATAATACAGAGATATAATACATATGAAAAGTATAATTTGCTCAGAGTCCGGAGACAGTGGTGGTTCGGTCCGGATCCGGACCGGAGTCCGTAGTTTGAGGATGCCTGGGTTAGGGTATGGGCACTGGGCAGGCGTATGTTATGGACGACGAACACAGGACACTCGATTCACAACATTACCCTAACCCTCACACCAGATACTGACTGGTTTTCAGACCCCCCAATAAAGCAAAAATGCACGTTTCAGAGTGGCCTCACGTTTCAGAGTGGCCTTATACCTTATGTGTGTGCGTGATTGTGTGTGAGAATGAGACAGGAGTAAGGCCCCGGCCACACGAAAACGGCTAAACGCATAGGATTAACGCAATCGCAAAAAAGCTTCCGTCCATATGCAATATTCACCGGATAGTGTCAGTCACATAGACTGTATATTCTGGGTGATTCTGGGTAGTGTAGTGTCTTCTGCCATCCTTTACTCCGAAAAAATATTTGTTTCTCCGAATCGAAGGGGAAAAATACAAAAGCATTGTACACAATTTAAACCAATCAATGTTGTGTAATTAACAAGGATAATCTGGTGTATTTTAGTCGATGAGTAGTGCAGATATCACTGTAAAATCAATCGACAGTAAGGGGAATACTTACTTCCGGGTGTACAATTCTCCGTTATCCAATGGGAATGGACGCTCACATTGCCTTTAAGGGCAGCCGACACAAACGAATGCCGTGCTTCCATGAGCGTCAAATCCCGCCGCAGATAGGAATACATTGCAATCAGTTGAAAGCTATTTGCGTCCCTTTATGAAGCTGAAGGAGCCTAGGAGCGTCACAACTGCACGCCACGGACACTGACCAAACGTCGCTCCTGGACGATTATGGAGTGAGAGTGTGTTGGGTTACGGAGGAAAAGAGAGAGGGTTCTATTTTCTGACGCGTGAGTTCCCCGACACACCGGGGACACATATTTATGTATAAAAGACATCAAAAAGTGCATTTTGCATGATAGGTCCCCTTTAAGTCAATTTTTTGTTGTCCTTTGCTCTTTTCTTTATATATTATAGCTACAGTATTCCTGTTTAAAAACCTGCACGTTTCCTCTGATTGAAACCTTGATCAAACTGTGTCATGAGGGGAGCCCAGCCATAGGCGGATTTTGCAGGGGGGCAGGGGGGGCATTGCCCCCCCTAGTGGCTGAAATATGTTACAGCATTACTACTTCTAAAACTGTTCCAATACAAATATTTCGTATATCAATATTTTAATAGATGTAATATAATGATTGTTACAATACAACTCTGAATAATATCATGTTTTGTTTGAAATAATTTCATTTTTGAGCAGTCGCATGTTGTGACGTGTGTGTGTGTGTGTGATGTGTGTGTTGTGATGTATGAGTTTAAGGACACAAGTTCCCTCGCTTTTTTTTACATACAAGTGATTCAGCTATTGTATTACAATAAGATATGCGGCGATTTTTAAAACGTCCAATTTCTGGGACGTTTAAGGCGTCTACTTCTGCACTAAGTAGGACACTGGTTAATAATATTGTAGCGTGTTCAAGTAACCAAGGGATATAGTAGTTATCAAATAAGTATAAGATCTGCACAGTTATGATAAGTTTTACAGTTATGTAATGCACTGTTGTTGGGTGGAGAGACCGCCCCTTCCATATGAGTGTGTGTGTACGGCGGGCATGAGGCGGGCATGACGGGACGAGTTGTGTTCCTATGTGGAAAAGACATACTCAGTGCGGTGAACGTTGGTTTTATTGCTTCTGTATCCGTAGCACCACACGCAATAGTTGGGACTGTGTACTGACGTCAGTAAAAAAGGTTTGCCCCCCCAAGCGCAAATGTCAAACTCTGCCTATGAGCCCAGCCCAGTGGTTAAAGGGGAAACTAAAAGAAAAATGTGATCGCCAATGCTTGTCGGCCAACAGGCTCTAACAAGGCCACCTACAATGTATGATACTGTATATTTTCGGACCCCCCACCCCTTAAGCGTTCCTCATTATATTTTCATTTTTACAATGTCAGTTTTATTTTTGTCATGGCTAACTTACCTTCTTTTTATTGTTTCCTGGCACAAATGGGCTTCCATACGGAGGTGATTTCATGTCAGGTTTGTTGATCTAAGGCAGTTGTTACAGTTTTAAGACTTTGAGATAACCAGAAGTAGAACAAACAAATTTTCCTGATAGATATGTGACAGTATAACAAAGACGGAGAGTCCAAAAGATGAATATAAACCTGCTTTTATTAAGGAAATGTAATAAAATCCTTTGTACATGTCCTCCCCACCGAGGTTCATTGTGTCCATACATGCAACTCTCATGGTTGAGGTACTGTTACAAATGAATTGGAAAAAAATTCAAACCAAACTGAATCAAGTGTCGTTATGGGACCAGAAACTAAAGGTCCATCTCCAGTTGCAGTATGTTAAAACTACCATCAAATTCACATGCACTTTATCTGGGGAGAAAAGGATGAGAACGTCTGATTTACTAAACAAATGTAGGCGTACATGGTGTGTAGCATTTTTAGGATTTTTTCCTTCAGTTTATAAAAAGTTCACTTATACAAACAGACAACGTTTCATGTGTAGCTCTTTCCTCAATGTACAGTCACCTTCTGCGTAATGCATAGACACAGAAAGCGTATCACAACCAAAGAAGCTATGGTGTGTTGTCTTTTACCAAAAATTGTAGAGATTCACAGCTGCAGATACTGCATTTACATGAAAACGGCCTCTAAGAGTGTACAAAGTGTAAACCATAAGCTCAGTTAAACCATTTTAATATGCTGTCACATAAAAGGGGTCTCTCTTATCGTCTCTACAGGATCATAATAGTTTTGATTTCAACAATATGGCACTAAGTGATTAAAGCGGACCTCTTTTTATAAAAAACAAAAACGGTCTTGTTTCCAAATAGTGGCAGTTGAAACAAATGCAGTCCTGGTTGATTCAAACAAGCATCTAAGTGAATACAGTCATTTGTATGTGATGTCCAACAGGCTTTAAAATAACTCCACCTATAAGCAGTTTGATCAGCACCTCTAGTTTCATTATTATTGATATTTTCTGAGTCAAAACTGGGGTACAATGTAGTCACTTTAACTAATGCTTAAACCTATTGATTGATGCTTGTCCTAAGTATTATGAAACTAAAAATAAGCCTTATAGTAAAACAAGAAAATGACTTTACTTCACTAAATATAACATTTATCCAACATAAGATTGCACCACAAAAATAAGTCTGTAAAGGATTCAAATGACTTAATAAGTACTCCAAGATTTTATGATTGCAAATCATGGCTTTCTTTTTCTTATTAAAAATAGAAAAAAATGAAATTACAACAGTTCATCTAATTGTCATTTGAAGCTCCGCAGATTTCTTTTAAAATGAATTACATTTGAGTTGCATTGCCATGACGCCAAAATGCTCCATAAGGCACTACAAGAGGCAAATCTCCTGTTTCCAGAAGCAGAAAAGTCCTGTTGCGTCATTGCCCTCTGTTAGTGTGACGGGGCTCACGAGCCACAATGAGCACTTTAGTCCAAGCTGATGACAGAGAAGGCCTCGCCTCCAGGAGGCCAGCCTTGGGGTGTCGGGGTCACACAGATCGGCTGGCTCCATTCAGACGCACCAGTGGGAGACGACACGTTCCCCTGCAGGAGAGAGGCAAAGGATCAGGAACAGATGAGAAAGCCTTTGCCTCTACACTGTAGATCAGGGGGGTCAGGCATGTTTCACTGAGGGCCACATACAGAAAAACAGGTGGAGGTCAGGTATATTGCCTCATACGTTAAGTTGAAAGTTAGCTAAGTCAAGTGTTGGTAAATTATGCTTGATACTTGAATATGCTTTAAGAAACAAACATCCTACATCAAAGCTCTCTATAGGGTTTCATTCATTTTGTTACAAAATGTGTCAGCAGTTAATTGTCAGATTTGACTAATACCTAAGATTTATTTAAAAATATTTTCAACTTGATACCTGAATTTATTTGAAAATTGACACATGAATTCTACTGTGTAATATATTTGAACATATACAGTATATTTAAGAAGTACAATATACTGTAAGACAAGCATGAGTTTCAGGCGTGGGCCATTTTCCATTATACTGTTAGAATTTGCTGAGGGGAAATACAAAATGGACGACAGGCCACAGTTTGGACACCCCTGCTGTAGATCATCTATGTACGGAAGTCCTGAGGAGCCAGTGAGAAAACAATACATTCTGGTGATCCATTTTAAGTCTGATCTAAAAATGATCCTCTCTTTATAAATTCAAAGAGAGGATAATTGTGTTGCCATTTGATAAAACAATTTAGACCAGACTTAGAACATATTTTCCTTTAATTTGCCTCTCAGGGCTTCCGTATGTTTAGTTCAACTCAAAAACATAAATTCCCCCGCCGCCTTAAAAGGACGAGTTGGGTGAACCTCTGAGTTGTGAACATTTAAAAAATATCCAAGTTAAACATGAGAAAAAAAACTCATTAGACAATGTTCAAGCTATGCTGGGAAGTACGGTAATGTGCTGATGATAAATTACCTTTTGGTAGTATGCTCATTGTTCTCTATCGTGATGTATTCCACTGTTTTCTCTTCATATTTAACAGACAGGGAAGCAACAGTAGAAGACTTACCCTCTAGATCTTTACACTCTCTGTCCCGTACACGTTGTAGCCTTCACGGTATGTGGCGAAATTCTGGGTGTTTGCTGGAGGGGCTGGCTTAAAGTTTTGGGCATTCTTTTCCAGCTTCAGTCTTTTGGTTTCTTGCCGTGACTTATAGCAGAACTCTATCAAAGCCACGGTCATAGCCAGGCCGAGCCCTCCCACCAGAATATAGAAGACTCCTGCCACGTTGCTCAGGCTTAGAGCACTTGTCTTGTCCTGGGGGGGGTAAAGACCACCGTTAAGAATCTTTGAACTGGCACCGTGAGACTGACCTCAAACATTTACACAAACACAATGTACTTCCTGCTGCACTAGGACTAAACACATGAGTCTACAAAACCCTCTAAATTACAGATGGCTACTTTGGCCTATAAGTGAGATGACTAGGAACTTTTAGTTAGTCTAATTCCTCCTCTCGAGGTATATCTAAGTGCTGTGAAGGTGAATGTAGTTTCTATCTCTGATGCTCTATGGTCTCTTTAAGAGAGCACGTCTACAGGAAGGCGGTCGTGGTCGTACAGGTCTACAAATTAAACCCTGGATTCACTATCATACTGTAGCTGCTCAACTTCAACACACTGCATTTGTACAATAAAAGTGGCAAGCTGTGGAGGGCGAATTGAACCATTTCATTGCTATTAAAAGCCAAACTGTGATATTGAAATTAATTTATGTGAGTTTTACTATTTGCATTCCCATCCTCTGGGACATCTTGTAGCCGTAAGGGCAGTAATTTCAACTTTGTATCTCTTAAAAAGTCAGACATAAAACCGTTTTTGCTTTAATTAAAGATGTACAAATAAATGTTCCTTACTCTGACACTCCATATGAGACATGACTGTTAAATACTATTGGACTACCTTGTGCTCGGATGGTATTTAAAGGTCAGTTTGGACTTAGTCAGAATATGGATTGTTTTGGGCCAAGTAGTCTGTCATATTGGAGTAAAAATACGCAGCAAGCATACAAAAGAAAAACATCAATGATAAACTAACTTTCAATAAAGGTTTGGATGACGAAATAACAGTATAATGGTTTCAATTCTATGATTTCAAAATCTTATGGCATGAATAGTGTAGTGTAATCATGCTGAAATTCTACTAATCTGGAGTTGTCCATACAGTAATGATGTCATGTTAATGTCATGAGACTATGTGTGAAGTTAATCTCTGTTTTTAGTCATGCTTTTCCTCGAACATTCAGATATAAGTGTTAATATCATGTCCTGATCAACATGTAAGGGAGAATGTATGCTTTGGATGTTTGCATATGAACAATTAGGTCAAAATGCATTTCTCAGTATCAGTATAAAAAGACCTGCAGCGACTGACCTTACTTCCAGAGTCCTTGGTTCCACATTCACCCTTATCGTACCACCATTTGTTTTTCAGCTTGTCTAAGATGCCTTGTTCACTGAGTTTCAATACTGCAAGGTTTACAGGAGTTCTTCACGTGGGAAATAACATAAATAACATTTTATTATGTTATTTTATGTTATTCAACTTTTTTAACTACTTAATACTGTGCAAAGCGATAGAGTAGGGTCTTGGCCAATACATCACAGATAGCAAGCAACACTACAATATATATATATATAAATATGTAAATGTATAAATATGACCTTTCATAATCCATGACTACCCTAGCATGCCAGACCCCACCTTTATCGCTTTGAGTAATCGGCACACACTGATCACAAGAGAAAAGATTTAACGTTGCAAATAAAGCAGCTGCTGCATAGCTGTCAGAATGAAAGAAAACAGAGGCAGTCATTACGGAGGGAACCTCTCGTGCTATGGGCAGCCTTTTGGATGTTTAGCAAGGTGGATCTAACAGGAACCCTTTCTTGAGTAACAGACAAAACACAGCAGTCCATTTTCATTTACAGCTATAAGAGGCTAATGCCCCACAAAATCACCCAAACAGATAATAACTACCAGCCAGATTAGATCAGGACATTTTGGATTTTAGAGTCTCTAAAAACACTTAGTCTGAGCCAGATCTATGATGGCGGGGTCACATTTGTGGGTTTTTGGTTTGGACATTATTTTCAATTTCCTTGACTGATAGATTCCTGGGCTTATTTCCTTTCAGAAAGAGGATCATTGTTTGTAATTCAACATCATTAAATATATTGTATTCCCCACTGTGTTCATTGTTTGTTAAAATAAAAATGTTGAGTACAAACAAATGTCATACAGAAACAACAACAAGAAGTCAAGCATGATGTTAGTTGATGATCTGCAGTCCTGTTCTCCGGTCAGAGCTCTCTGAAAGTCATGATGATTTTATTTCATTGAGTGTTGGAAACTAGTAACTTTGATGCATGGATTCAAATACAACAAAATAAAACGCATTCCGACACAACCTCTTGAGTTTACTAAACATTGTCTTGACAGAGGAGCGTACAAATCAAGCCAGTTGCAGCGAGATCGTACACACAGTGATCTATGAGACTAGAACTCGGACAATGATGCATTGTAATTGTAGCCTCTGACTTTATGGGATGCATTTTGAGGATGAATTGCAAAAAAATAAAGCTTTTAAACGAGGTGTTTTCTTCCTTCTGGGAGCTTCAGATCAACAATTTACAAATAAATGATTAGGTTACCTCATTATTATTTTTTCCAAAGACCAGTTTTTAAATGACAATTAAAGATCAGCATCTGATGATGTTTCTGTTGTTTTTGACTTGATGACACACTCAGCAACTGCTGCTCTGACCTCTCTGAACAGAAATATGACTACAATAATTTAGTCTGTTTAATTTTAATTAACAATCTTTGTTTTATATCTTTGTGAGAATTGTGGGTAGGATGATCCATTGATTGCATTTTCTCTCGTACAATTTTCACTTACATTTCACATTCAGCTCTAAGAGCAAAAGGGAGCATTAGTCGGCTGTCATCAGAAAAGACTTCAGACCCGCCACAAGGTGGTGGCCATGGACTAAGTCAAAAACTGATTAGCACAGTTACACTCAAATACTCCCCTATGTTTTCTAATCTGCAAAACCTAAAAACAATCAAAACGTCCTTTATCTTTACCATAACTAATACTTGTAAACATACTGTATGAGTAGCTGGAAAGACACCTTAGCTGTTTGGTTGAAACTGCAAATTGGATCATTGTGTGTGGAGGAAAAAACCCTAAATCACATGACGTAATAAAAGATTGAACATCAAATTCAAAGAGTACAGCACCAAACAAATGTCATCATCCCTGCTGGAAACTTAAAGCATAAAAGGAACTTAAGAGCTGAAAAAGGAACATCTGTTGAAAATATTCAGTTGTAGTAACAGAGAAATATAAAACTGTACATCCATTCCCCTTTCAAGTGGCTCCACAGCCTGCATCTATTATTATTTTGTCCATTGCAGGTCATTTTCTGTCAAGAGAAAAACTCTGAGCTGTCCCAAACCTCTGATGTACGAGACAGCTTACAGCTGCACGGAGAGGAAACTCTAACAGATCAAAGATTTATCACACCTGGCTTCACTCGCATTTACAATAAACGGACTGGGAGCATTTACACAAAAACAGCTCAAATTTTAAGCAAAAATAAATAAATAATAATACTAGTCATAATAATAATATAAGATACAATATGTAACAAAAAAACCAAGTTCATTTTAAGTTGTAGTAACACTGAAACTGTCTGAAACTATTTAGTCTTTATTTATATTTATTTCTTCTCTATTTTTTGTGTCTCATAATTACTCCTATTGCACACAGGGCTTTAGCCTTCACTGCAATTATATGAGCAGTGAACAAAACAAAAACACTTTTGAATCTTGAAATTGTGAAATCTAAAGTCAATAGGGAGCTCATCTTCAAATGTAAAAAGAACTCTCCTCTCTGAATTATCTCTGGTGACTATAGTTATGCATGGGATTGTTATTTACACATGCAGTCGACCAATCAGATTCATTCCAATCTGGATCTGCAGTATTTGGCAGCATTTCTCCAGGAAGCGTTTAAGTGTAACTAATCTGAAGTGTCTTTAAGCTCGAGTCAAATGTTTTATCACTACTGATTCATTTTGAAACTATAGCTAACTTGCCACTTCCATGACTATTAAATATGTTTTTTGTATTTGCATTGGACCTTTAACCTTATATAGAAATGTCTGCTAATCATTTTTTTCTCAGGCTGGTTGTTGTAAGTTTCTTAATCACAATTCATGACTGCATACTTCTGATTTAGTGCAGGAGGTGGACAGAATAAGGACACCTGCACAATGTATTGCAGTGCAATGTAACAGCAGGTGTGATAAATCTTACATTTGTGAAGGTATTTGTCGCGGCCCTGTCAGAGCGTTTTTTATTCACCTCTAAAGTAATCTTTGAGGGTCATAGTTTGGCTTCACATCTTATGAGACATATACGCTTCACAAAGATAGTATTTATTGTTGGATTTGATACATTGCACAGGTGTTTATTTTATTGTGTCCACCCCCTGTCCACTTAACCTCGTCTCCATTAGATTTAAGTCACAATAGAACTTCAGACTAGTCTGTCTGCAAAACAAGAAAACAGCATCTCAAAACACTCACAAGCACACAACATCATTCAAATGAAAACAACTCATGCACAATACCGACTCATGGCCAGATTAGGATATCAATTACATACTGAGTGATGTCAAATACCAATCACACAGGATGTGAGTTATTAAAAATATCACTATTGATTTCTAGTATAGATTCAAATAAGTGCTGAAATAGATTTCAGCTCCCTAATGATAACGATGTAATTGATTGTTCTGCTGTGAATGTTCTCAGTGGTCGTTACATACAATATATTTCCATCTCTTGTTGAATTACCCACACGTGCCTTTCTGAAAGTGAAATAAGGAAACAGAAATGTGTCAGTCAGACGGTGATCGCTCTCTCTAACCAGGGGATCGGAGCACTTGGCCAGCGAGAGGAGGCAGCTACTTTGTGTTATCCAACCAGGAAGTATCCATGTCCTGCTCACTCAGGAATGCATGACTGGGGTCGGTAACATCAAAGTTTGCCTCGTCTCATCTCTCGCAAGGTGCCACTGTGGTCATGATGCAAGCTGAAGAGCAGAGGCAGAGATGGATTCACAGTTCAGGAAAACAAAACGATCAGGAGCCTCATTTATGGAAAGGACGTACAACAGATTTGATTGAAGAAAATCCTGATAAATGTCGGAGCCTTTGTGCACACAGTATGAACAGGCCAGAAGCTTTCTGCCAATCCGTTTTTGTTATAATTTTACTCTGCTTCTTGATCTACATTTAAAGTGAGACTATGACTTTTAAGATAGGAAAAAAACACTATTCTCTTGCAAAGGAAATGTTATATTCATAAACAATACATCTCAAAGAAGCTAACGACGGCTCATTTTGAATTATAGGTATTCTAACTGAAATTCATCAGGCGGTTCATGGATTTTATGACTCTTGACTGTTACGCCATGTTACACTTTCCCAGTGATAGCCACTTTGGCAAAAGCTGCATAGTCTCACTTCAACGTCTGAATGCATCTTGGCTTATTAATTTGCACATTTGCTTTAAGCTCACCATGAAAATGATCAAATACAAATATTTCCAATCAAATCCTCGCGTACAAATGAGGCCCCTGGTCACATCTTACACTCTACTTCTGCAGGGTTGCCATGGATAAACTTTGACTGGCCTTGAGGTCAAGACCAACCAAAGGTTTCTGTCAATCTTACGTTGGATTTCGATGAGAGGATGTTGGACAAAAAAGTTTGGACTGTTAGTCGTCACTCTGTCATTAGAATTCTCACGTTTGCCTGCGATGCTTAGTCCCCTCAAGACAACGCTGCCCCCCGTGCCTGCCCTAACCCAGGCGGTACATTGGAGAGTGGGAATAAAATAATAGATATACAATAAATCCTAGCTTTATTCCTGTAGTTGTGAAGCTACAAATCTCTTGGCTTGTAGATATAAAAAACAGACGGTATGATGGTAGTATTTCATAACTACAGGCCAAAAATATCAAACTATTTTCTGAAGCATAATGTTAAGCACTTCATAATCTGATTTTCCTCTGTCCTACTTTGCTTTATCTTACACTATCAAACTTTGTTTCCTCTATTAGCCAAGTAAAGGGTTCCCAGTTGATCACAGTTGCAAGATAAAAATAGAAAAAATTATTTATCTGTTACTTATTAACAGATAATTGGGTCTAAGACTATAGTCAGTGACAGCCTTGCCGATTACTCGGTTCTAGTATACCCGACTTTGGTGACATTGAGGCTGACCTTAGAGTCACCTCCCCCGCTGCCGCACTCTCCCTTGTCGTACCACCATTTGTTTTTCAATTTGTCCAAGAGGCCTTGCTCATTCAGTTTTAAAACTGCCAGGTTAACAGCATTTCTTGAAACGATAAAACATAGCTTGTAAGAAAATGAACAGGTCCGTGAGAAATCTAATATAGAATATTAGTAAAAAAATAGGGATAAATATCAATGGTTCATAAAGGGGAGCACGGAAGGGACAAATTGGTAAAGAATTTAACTGGTGGGAAGGGTAAGAAGCATTTTTACAGCAAAGAAAATGTTAAATATTAGAGAGGTGGCATGGAGGGTTACATTGCTTGTAACTGAAGTGTGCGGGATGGGGACATTCTGTCATTGTTGAATTAGAAATAAGAACATCCAGCATGCAACTTAACATTCATCACAACCAACAGACCAGCATTGTAACTAGCAAAGAACAAAAATATCCCAGAGGTGAATTAGATGCAATGCAAAAGGGCACCACAGAAACCAGGGGGGGGAGAGGTTGAGGAGCAAAACAAACCGGGATGGGGAGAGTGACACATCGACATTCAAATGGATGACAGAGTGACTTATATACCAATAACCTTAAGAGGAAGAAAAAACAGAGACACAAAACAGATACATCGGACACAACAGAATGGTGTTGAACAAACTCAAAATACTGTTCACTCAGTGATGTAATTGGAGTCAAATAATAAGAATGAAGGAGTGAGGAAGAAGAAAATGGCAAAAGAAAACATCAGGGTAGGTGGAATACTATAACAACATGGAGGATATTGTTATATTATCCCACCCACCCTAATGCAGAGCCTTTAGGTGTTGCCACACCATAGCCCTTAGAGTCGAGGTTGCCGCCCACTTTCATGGTGTCGCACGGTTTCCGCTGCTCTATGTACTCGTTCATTGTGGACTCGAGTAGAAAGGCGAACTTGCCCTTCGACTTTCGTACTCTGGCAACCCCGTCTGGTGTTGTCTTGGCAAACACTGAGGGTTCAGCGGATTTCATGTATGACCACATTTTCTCATAAACTCCTATTTTGGAGCGCTGCATTATAGGAAACAGAGAGAAGACAGAACAGTTTAGTTATGCACTAAAAGAAACAAACACAGTCATGAAATATAATTATACCAGGCTGCTATGGGTGGGAATGTTCATTTTGGGAAATACTAACATAAGGAGATGGATGCCACACTCATTGGAGAGTGGTATCTATCTTCTTCGAACTCACAGCAAGAAAGAGAATAATCGTATTTTCCAAAAGGAAAAACTGATCCTTTAAAGCAACACTGAATCACTTGGAAAATGACTGCTGCCTGCTGCACTTCCTGGACACCTGTTATAGTCCTGCAACGAGCCACGTACACATTTAAATGTACAGGTACGAGCATGGGTACAAATTAACTAAATGCAGTCCAGCAGCAGATGAGAAGACTTTTTTGAGAAATGAAATATGAAACTGATTGTTTTTACCATCTGATAATCTGATCAGCTGATATCATCAAGAATAATCAACGGCAAGGTTTTCATTATTAATTATTCATTATTTTCATTGTTTAATTATTTCATTATTAAACCCTGAGTGTTCTCGCCCTGCTGGTATCATGATTCAAGAGTGGATAAACCATCTTAACCCAAAGTAAAAAAGTACTTCAGTGTGTGTTTAATCACAGGTCAGATCTGGATTTGACTTGGAGAGCAGGATGCCTGAAGCGCCTGCTGTGACATCACAGTTTGGAACATGTCCAGAAACGCAATATGCTTCAAGAATTCAACACATAGTGGACAGTCTCTTTCTGCCTCGTGTAATTCAGAGTGGATTCAACCATTCAAAAAGAGAAGTGCAGCAGAGGTAGTGGGCAGTATGCCAGCAGCCTGAAGACTGACAATCTGGCAGCCCAGCAGAAGCAAAATGTCGGCCATGTTTGGAATCAATAATAACAGAGAAGTGACCTCCTGCTCCTCGTCAGAGTGTGTCCCGACCAGCAGGTCACAGCTGGAGTCACAGTCATCACGGTTTCATTTATATTTAAATATAGAAACTTCATTTCATTTGACTTTAGTGGTTGTGCAACATTTACATATTTTCAATTCAGCTTGATGATAATAAATGTGCCTTGATTCAATAATGCAGGAATATGTGGGACAATGCGTATATGGTATATTTAATCAAATTATTTAGGGCTAAATTCAAGTAATTTGTGTTTAAATATTACTATTAATATGTTACATATAGCATATAACATTGTGTGTATGTTGTGTTATCTCCTTTTATCTCTTTTGTGTACACCTTTTTATAAAAGCAGTTGACAGATTGTCTTCATCATTAGACTCACACATTTTCAATGTCAATTTTAACATAATAAATCTTGTTTTTCATTGTCACCTTTACTCTAACATGATATCCATGAATCAACATGATGTTAAGCCAAACACCAGTTTAAATAATTGTTAATTCTCCTCTGTTTGCTCGGCTCTATGTTGAACACATGTGACCTGCATGCTCGGACTGACAGCTCCACCTCTGCGGCCCAGCTGCCAGCTGAGCGGCTGCAGTCAGGCAGCTCCGCCTGCTCTGACACTCAGGACGCTGCTAAAAATGGCCAGCGAGAGGTTTATGGCCGGCCACTGGGGAGCTGGAGTACAGCTGTCTACAATAGAGGGGAGGATAGAGACGCTGCAGTAAACCGGGCTAACGTGACCTTCTGCTGAGCTGGGAGAGGCGTCTCAGAGGAAACTTTAGGTCGAAACTCATCACATTTCTACACGTTTTAGAAGGGCTTCTCGTCAGGATTGAGATTAGGGCATGACAGGCAGGTTTGATAATCACTAGGTCAAACAGGAAGTAGAACTGTGGACGAGCATCTGACGTCAGAACTCTGAAACTCTGGAGCAAGTTCCAGTTTCCAGTTTCAAACAACAACTGAAAACCATTAATATTACTATTATTATTAACATAATTATTACTATTAATTTCATTATTTGCACTATTATTATTATTATTATTTTAATATTTAATTATCTACAGTTTTCCTTTTTTAAATGTTTTTTAATAAGTTATAGCTCTTGTATAGAAAGTGTTTATTAAATAAAATGTATTATTATGTGTTCATAGTCCTACATATTTGTCATTAACACCCCACATTGTACTCCACATAGAATTGTTTTTTTATTGCACGTTTCCTATTTGAGTTGTCCTTTTTATCAGGGCACTGTATTCACTTGGTTATTTATAGAATACTAAAATGCACAAATCAAGTGTGTGCGTCTGGTTTGCTCCAGATTGTACGTTCAGTAGTGCTGTGAGTCAGACCCACGTCACATCTGTTAGGAAAAAGTAGAGCAAAACATTCGAGTGGATATACAAACTGTGTCAGCTGGACGGTGTGTGCGGCCGCAGTGTGTAAATTATTCACCGAAGATGTAATGGATTGTGGGCTCAGGCTAGTAAGTGAATCATTCTTGACATATGCAGGATTTCAGTTCAGTCAAGTGTTCATGTAAACACTCTTTACATGACAGTAATGGCAGATGACAGGCCGGACCATAGTGTGAAAGCAGCCATTCTTTTCTGGGTAACATCGAGACGCATGCTTGTCAGGAGTAGGTTGGCCGTCTGGGTTTAAATCTGTGCTACACCTCGTGCTGTCAGAGTCAAAACTGTCACCACAGCTTTACAAAGAGAAATTATTTAATACATACATTTAAATAAATGGGTTGTGTAGCCTCAATAATCTTTTAACTGACTACCGGGGCAAGTGAAGAATTTGGGTTTGCTGCCCCTCATCCATTCTGGAAATAAAGTAAACTTCCAGCAACCAGTTCATCTTTCAGCAGCTGCCTGAAGGCTGAGATTGATTCACGGCCCTCTGTCTACATCTACAAATTGAGACGACAGGCCAAACAAAGCATCAGCAATCTTTCTGGGGATTTGTTGTTATTAGTTTTTGGGAATGATAAGGTATGTAATTAAAGTCTTCAAATACTATATTTTCATAATCAGTGGAAACAAATTGATAATGTTACTAGTTCATATCTTGGCTCGTTCAGAACATAGACTGTATACGTATATACTGTAAAGGTTCAGAAGCACCACTGTAATTAAAGTAGAATTTATAACTAACACATTTTGGTTTCTCTAACTTGTGTTCTCTTTTACATCCCCTTTACCCTCTTCAGAGTTCATGAACAAAATGATCCAAACAAGAACTTGGCGACTTGTTGAAATTATTTGAGTACAGTGCGAATCAAAATCTAAATGTGACAAATGATATCTAAATGAAAGTACTTTGGAGATGTTGGTACGCTAATTTTGGCCAAATGCTGGCTGTTCCCACCCACTTATTTTCGTTATGCTAAACTAAGCTAATAATCTAGTAGCTCCAGCTTAATTGTTAGTGTACAGACGGCACAGTGGTATTGATCTTTTTAATCTTACATTAAATCAAATAAGTATATCTCCTAAAATGTAGAGTTTAAAAAAAGAGCATACAGATATATTGAACCAGATATTATAGTCCAAATGTTGTATCAGCAGACAGCTAGTTGAAGAAGAGTGTTGAACAGAACTATAATAATTTACAAACCCAGTGGTTTTAAATCATTTCTGAAAAGAATATTGAAAGAAACGTCACATTCTGTATCATCATATATGTCATGTCATAAGCTGTATGATGCTTTAAAGTTCGATGTTAAAATTATTTTTACAGCTCTCATTTATCATTGGCTTTGATTCACCAGATTTCATTAAGCGTTCCTCAGAGCGACTCCTCTGCAATGACATTTCCAGTTTGGAGGAAGAAAGGCAGATATTTGTCACTCAGGATGAAGTCACTACACGCCTGTCAATTATCTCCTTAGGAACACCTTTGACAAATCACAGCCAGCCAAATACCTCGTGGATTAGCATATCCGCCGCTGCCTATGGAGGTGCGTTTAATGTGATGAGTCACCAGGAAGCCTCAACAATAATTAATTTAATGAATTCAAATGTTTAAGGTGTTTTTTAACCAACAAGTAAAAGGGGGTATTTTTAGGGCTGATGCATGTGTCACGTAAAACGTTTCTTTCTTTACTTTAAGCCTATGTTATAACATCAATGAAAAAATGTAGAGGTCTGTTGAAAAGTTGAGTTTTTGGCAGTAGAATTATTGCTCACATTGTCACATAAGGAATTTTTACTTGAACATAAACAGGGGTAATTAAACAAACGTAGTATCATGTTTAAAGGGCATCTGCTCCTGCAGTCTTAATAAAAGCAGTCTGAATAACTACACAATAGAAGAGGAGAGAATCAGCACAGCTCTGATAATCAACATAGAGTGTAATAAATACAGATAAAACTATTGTTAGAAATTAAAATCAATGTTTTGATGGCATAATGTAGCTTAAACATACCGTGAGTTTAAATGCTGTCTTATACTGAAAAACCAGAAGTTCTCGCGCACAATGTCTGATGTAAAGCTTTTATTCTGAAAAACCTTCATCTCCTGTTAGCATTTAGCATGTAGCTAATATTCCTTTCCCAATAGGTGAATTTCGAAGTGAAATGACATGGAGTGATGCACACCGAAACCTACTGATTTTAACACTACAACTATAGACGTCGAGATATTATTATTGCTGAATATTAAATGAAGGTAGGCTACAGTTTATTTTAATACGTTTTTGTTTACAGACGTGGGTAGCATTTGACAACATCTGGAACTACCGGGAACCAAACTGCCGTGAAGTATTTCCTGTATTTTTTAAAGTATTGATTTCAGCGTTTAAAATGTGTTCAATGAAAAGTCATGAAAGAGATAAGAAGGAGAAAAGGCGTGTTTATATATATATATATATATATATATATATATATATATATATATATATATATATATATATTGAATGTACAATGTCTGAATCCTCTGTTATACGCAACAACGGACATCAAATACGTGGAGGGCCGGCCCCCAGCAGCGCCAACCGGCCCACAGGGAGGAGCCAGCAGAAGATGAACAGCTGGAAATGTGGTTCTCGCCCTATTTTCTGCCCTCTCGAGAGCCCAAGAACACAGCTGTTGCTCTGACTGAACAATATTCTGCTTGTAACATTACGCGCCTTCTATTAATTAAAGTACTCATTTGAACCTTCTCAGAGCCCCCATTGGTCTCGTTATTTTTAAAGCTTCTCTCCTGGACGCGAGAATAACGAACAAAGATAACAATATACAACCCAGTCTCACGGCATTTCATGTAATAGTCACAAAATGAATTTAATCTATTGATTCGTGTTCACCAACACGATTTTCGCATTTTTTTCGTGTCACACAGAACGATTTTAAAAGCAATGCATTTCTATTGGTACTAGGCTTGTTTGAGACAAGCGAGACCTGCGCAGTTGCGATCAACGTCTTGCTAGTGCGTTGCATGATGGTTAGTCATTTTGTCCGACTTGCTCTGGAGGCTCGCCTACATGAGACGTTGAAATCTCGCGGGACAAAGACGCCCGCAGCCTTGAGAGCGAGGCGCGGCGAGGCGGTGCAGTTCCTCTCCACGGGCTGCGGAAGCGAAATGCTTGATGGGAAAAGACTCGCTGGTATCTCGAGCTGAGCGCTCATTGGTGGTTTTTACCACGTGCTGCTGATGCAACTCTCCAATTGGCTCGGCAAAAGTTTGTTGTTGTTTTGTGTCCGTTTTACGTCGCCACATCCATTCCCATTTGTCATCATTGTTCCACATTGTTCCAATGTTTATCATCATGAAATTAATATCTATATATTTTATACTATACTTGCACTCAGTGGCGGCGCCAGAGATTTTCTCTAGGGGGTGCTGTGGGGTAGCTTGACGTTTCATAGAGGGTGCTCAAACATTTAGGGTTTCCCATTAATGCACCAGCGCTACAGTTGAATTTTCTACTGCAACACTCCCCACGCACACACACACAGTGCACCCGCGACTGTTACAATGAAGGCTCGATAATCAGCTCACGGCATATAGGCAGGGGTAAAGTGCTATTTTTACAAGTGGGGAGCGGACCTCACCTCCTCTAGGAGGGTCCTCACCTCCTCTAGGGGGGTCCGGGGGCTAGCTCCCCCGGGAAGATTTGTTGTTACATATTTAAGTTAAAAGCATCAATCTGGTGCACTTTGAGAGCAACATTAAGAGATCTATGGATACATCTCAACACCCATACGAAACAGAACTGTCAACAGATTTTCTATTTCTTTATAGATATTTTACAAATCACTCTCCTTTTAAAACAAACCTTTTGAGACCCACTGAGATAACTAGACTAAAGTTAACTATCTAAACACTGAGAGAGTCCTTTACTTCACCTGAGTTGAGGTTACCTGAGACTCTCCGTCTGACAGGAGAGAGTTCTCCCTCCACCTTGTTGTTGAAAAAGCTCCTTATATCCATTAGCTTGGCTAGCTAGCACCAGATGCTAACCACAACGATCTCCGGTAGATGGTGCGCGAGGCGAGCTCTCTCGCTCGCTCGCGCACGCACGCACACAAAATGGCTCGTGCCACACACACACACACACACACACACACACACACACACACACACACACACACACACACACACACACACACAGAGCAGGGCTTGAATGAAACACAGAGACCCAGAAGTAAGCTACTTGTACTCACGAGGCCTATTATGTGCAGAATCCCTCTCGCTTTCAGTTGGTTTTGATTGAGTGTCCACACGTGGTCGTTTAAGGACTAAAAAACGATCAATTTTTCACTTTGCTGTTAGCAAATCATTTGGCGCTCTAGCTAACAGGAAGTCAATCAAGTGTCACAAAGTAATTTAGCCTATGGGTAGGTCAAAAATCGAATGGGTGCTGACCATTGGCCTAATCATATCACCTGTGTTGGCTTTATGTTTTTGGTCAAAAATGTGTTTGTTTCACATATGCATTGATGTAATCAATAATATTTCTAATTTAATTTAATAAAAATAATAATAATAATTTTCGAAAAACAAAACAAAACACATATTTCTTGGGGGTGCTTAGGGGGTGCTTTGGCAATCCTGGGGGGTGCTTCAGCACCCCCTAGCTCCCCCCTGGCGCCGCCCCTGCTTGCACTGCTTACCGTTTTCATACTTTATACTTCTTAGCATATTCATACACACTGTTCATACTGCTCACAGGCTGATATCTAGTGTATTCATACCCCTCACTGTTTATTCATCATTCAATTCATTCTATATTTTATTCTGTCTATTGTGCACATTACTTTTCACTTTACTGCTTGTTGCACCTGGTTAGAAGCTAAACTGTATTTCGTTGTCTCAGTACCTGTAATATGTGCAATAACAATAAAGTTGAATCTAATCTTGAGCAGGAACAAATGTATTTACTTAGTACATATCTGACATTAACGATTAAACACATGTGTGCATTCTTTATAAATGCAAACCGAGTCAAGCCGACACCGGAGGTGGCGGTATGCACCTTCAAGTTGTTTGCAATCCGCCAAAAAACGGAGAGAAGAAGAAGAAGAAGACGAAGCCGACTCCGAGCTGTCCGACTTCAGGCGAGCTTTTTGAGACCTCCCCGGCTGCGATCGGCTATTCTCGTCTACTTTCGAGGCGAGCCGCAACGCGTCTCAAACAAGCCTAGTATGTTTCGTGCCTGCAGCACGTCTTTTTGTCCGGTCGGGTCTTGGAAGACCGGAAGCTGTGTGGTTCATAAAAACATTTCTTACTTAATATCAAGCCACGATTATTGATTTTATTTTAAATGTTATAATGTCGGACTTTTTTTGCCTTCCTCGAGGAAAAGAAATGGGGCTCAGAGCCTCAGAATACTGAAATCTGTATTCTTTTAATCTTTTTTTCCTTCTAATTTGTTATTATTTACATTGCTTTTAAAATCGTTCTGTGTGACACGAAAATAATTGGGAAATCGTGTTGGTGAACACGAATCAATAGATTAATTTCGTAACTAAATGCCGTGAGACTGGGTTGAACTATATCTTATATTAAATAATTAGGGTTAGGATATTAGTTATATCTCTTAAACAGATATTTGACACAGTGAGTTTCCTAATAAAATCATCTCTGAACAGCCAGGTATTTCAACAGTAATGTTTTTAAAGCAGTGCAGTGCAGGAGGCGGCGAGTTACAGAACACCTACTCCAAACTGATAATGCTGATTGCTCCAATTCAATGTTTTTAGACCCGAGTTCGGAGCGCCACAGCGGACCATGCCACTCTTTTTTTAACAACTTCATAAATTGAGAGGGTCACAGAACCTACTCATGCCTCCCCTCGATCGCATCCCTGCAAAATCCCTCCTCTCTCCACTATTAAACACACTTCTCTTGAGAGCTTTTATTTGATGTTTGGACTGATTCTGGAAGCCAGATGTGAGTGTTAAAATGGAGCAGAAAGCCAAACCTCTCAGACAAAAACAAGTTGTTCTACCCTCACTCTATTCAAGCATATTTATACAAGCTGTCTGTATATATCAGAGGAGATCGGAAGATGTGATTTTACAACTCTCTGTCTGATCCAACCAACTGGCCTGATCACTCCAGAGTGAAACACAGTCCACAAGGTTTGTCTCTATGAAACGTCTCAGACATACGTACTTAAACCCAGAGACTGACTGGGTCTTAAAAAAGACACGACATAGAGCCGGACACAGGATGTGAATGACATTTCCATTTCTGAGGAAAAGGAGGACGTCTTCTTTGAGATTGCGGTTTAGTGACAGAAGCCCACAAATTGGAATTTTAATGATTCTTCTAGTCTTGAACTATTTATTTTCCAAAAGTTTTGAACACACAACAGAGCTTTAGTTCAGTCGTTATGATCGAAATGAGTAATGCTTGCAGCGATTCAGAAGCCCAGACAGAAGTCAATCTTCACAATTTGATGCAGCATTTAAAAAATTGAAAATTACTTTCAAATGATTCACAAAAGACCCCCAGATTACACAATCTGTCAACTGCTTTTCTGAACGGCTAACATTAATCAGAGTTTAATAGTGTTTTCTTTTTATAATACGATGTTTGTCCACTGTGTGACCTTGATGAGAATATTTGCGCAGTTGCTTTTCCTGCACTTTTTCGTAGTGGATATAAGAATTAATCTGCACATAAGTGGAGGCAAATGAAACTTTGGTTTAATGACTCTACTAATGGTCGGTTGAGGGAGCGTAATTGTTGCACAACTGAATTATTCCTCTGGTGTAAAGCTTGCAAAGAGCTTATGATTTTGTTTGCGAGAACCAAAATTCATTTTGTAGGGATTCATTTAGTTTTGTGGTACTGATATCCTGCTCTAACGATGGCAATCCATCTCTAAGTTACTTCTTTTAAGCCACTTAACAAAACAAATGCATGCAATTTTCTTGTCACTGTTTAGTTAAGTATGACTTAAATCATATAAATAAAACACTGTGTACCACTGTTTTCTAATGTACTGAATTAATCAAGTGTGGTAGTAGTATTAGTACTTTGGAAGTGCTGTTACAGGAGAAAAATAAAATTCTAGACATTGTATTATTGATTATTCATTCAGTGTATGACCTGGCAGGTCATAAATCACAACCCACTGGAGAGCTCCAGGGACTTTTCCCGCTCTTTGGCCAACATTAACTACAGTTTCAGTGCAGCGACAGCATGGATGACAAACAGTGGAGACACTCACCCTAAAGAACTCCTTAGTGGAGCCTGAGTCTAACGTCCCATAGGCAATCTCTGTCTGCTTGGCCAGGTCCTCTGCACCCTCGATGGGAGAGACCATCCTCTCCACAGTGAGGAAGGCAGCCAGGTTAGCCGTGTAGGAGGAGATAATGATGAGGGTGAAGAACCACCACACTCCTCCCACGATACGACCGGACAATGATCTGAGAGGAGGAAACAGAGCAGACACACAGAACATGATAGCAGTATTCTCTAGCTATCCCCAAGTAGCGGAACAACCAGAGTAATGTCAAAACTACCCGGCAACAGAGTCCCGATGATGGAGGAGGCAAAGAAAGAAAGAAACAAAACCTGCCTACTAATTCATACTACAAGATGCTTGACTTTGCCATTATAAAAGCACTGGGATCAGGGTTTCTAGTTCTAGAGAGTCTTTAGGTTGTTTCTTGCTTTGAAAAATTAGCCACGCTGCTAGCGGTAGCCATGTTGCTAACGATTTACTGCATGAACTATTAGGTCGATCGTCTTGTTCAGATGTAAATCAACGGAAAGCGAATATAGGGAGGAAAAGTTGAATAGGTTAAAAAATGTTTTGTGTTTCTGCCGTAAGTGAAGTATCATCACCTATGGCTGCTTACATTTTATCCGTTCTTTGAAAGTAATAATAGGCTAAGCCTCATTAACTCAGTGTAATTGTGTTCATATATGGTTTTGGAGCTAAAGCAGGTGAGCAACCATGCAGATATTTGATTGGAATTGTCCATCTGTTATCAAGAAACTCTTTCCACAAATCAATTCCACAGAGGACAAAATAAGTCTGAAGTAAAAGCACCGTGAGACTGTCTGCAATTGAATTCAGGATGTAATGAGCTACGCCACACAGACAGTCCCATCCTGCTCACTGGTCCTTAACCAATTCTTCACAGTTTCCACATCAGCGTTAAGGCTCCTACTTTACATTTGTGCCTTGCAGAGGAACCTGGGGTTCATATTTTCTAAATGTGACTGTCCTCTCTGGTGCAATCCCCAACTTCTACGATTGCACACAAATCCTACTAAATGGGCTCCGCTCAGATGAACTCACATTTCTCACTTCAAACGAGGTCCATTTGCATCACATCACTGCATCGCAGATGTACTGCCCTGGATTTCTCCTAATTTATTGTTTTTAAAGCTTATTTATGGGTTTATGGTGGTGCTTTCAAGTTGTAAATATTGCCAGCAGTCGAAATCTACAGTATGTCTTATCTCCATCATCAAGGTTTCCGCTGGGTGCTATTCTAGGCCAAAGTCTTATCAGTAAATGGCTTATAATTGAGATAATTATCCAGAATGGAATCATATTAAGGTCAATGACCATACTTTAGATACGTTGGGTTTAAAAATGTTTGAGCCAGAGGCAAAGTTGAATCCACAAAAAAACAATAGAGATCAGTAGAGAAGAGATTAAGGTGCAGAAACACTTCCCTTTCGGGGGACTATATGGTGACACAGAAAATGCTGCACCATAGAGTTATGAAGTACAACAATTACTCAGCAATATCAATAAAAAAAACATTTGTACTTTGGAGCCACAATAACATCCCCAATTTGCTGCTTAATTGATTATTCTCCTTGAATTATTCAACAGACCCACAACTCTTCCTCTATGCTTCTACATGGCATTAACTAGAGTCATGCGCATATAAACTTAAACAGTCATATGAAAAAATCATCCATTTCAATTGAGTAATGTGACAAGTGAACAGGCTGACATTCCATTGAAAAGGGTTGCCCCTAATGTGTCTCCCTAATAAAGTATACAACCTGAAAGAATGCTTTATGTCCCACCATTAAAACCCCATATTTGTCCAGTGGCACACCATCAATCAATCCTTTCAAGACTAATTAGAATCTGTGAAAACCTTCCTCCTTTCTATCCCGCTTCATAATAACCTTCCAAAGTCCCGGATGAAAGGATGACGAAAGCAAGAATCCTTGAAGAAGAGGTCAGGGACACCACAACAGCGATGAGTCAAGAGATGGATGGATGCACAAATAGATGGGATGACCATTGAAGGAGGGAAATGCATAATGTAGGTACAGTATGGCGCTGATGATGTTGTTTTCCCCCCACAAAATGCGTTATATGCACCAATGAGATGACCGTAAAATGGGACATGCAGCAAAAACACGGTAGCCCTCCAAGAGTCATGAGGAATTTCGAGCAGCTACTCTGAATGAAATGTGATGACCCCTTTGCATTTTACAGCCCTCAGCATGGTGGATATAAGTTATTTTGTGGATGAAAAGCATAACTGCTAGCATGCCGTTTTAAAGCAAAGGTTTGAAACAAATAAAATGGGAAAGAGTGCAGTGAAGTGAAGCATGAGGAAAGATGGACAGCTCAAAATAACCTATATGCACCATGGCAGGGAGGAGATGTATGAACGGGACTATAAAATGCAGAGAGATGACGTGGACAACTGAAGGGTGGTGGAGAGTGAACAAAACAACCAACCTTGGTGAGATATCGCATCCTTGCTGCATGAAGGCACCCAGGGAGAACCACAGGCTATTAAAAATCCCAAAGTCGTTTGGAGGGTCTGGCGGGCTCTGAGGGTCTTTGGCCTCATCGTTTTCGTCCAGATGCCACTCGTAAGGGCTGAACCGGCTCACCAGGAAGAGCACCACACTCACGCCGATATAGGCAAAAACTATGCACATCCAAATCTCATAGGCCAGTGGGTCCAGGAAGGAGAACACCCCAGGCTTGGACTTTTGGGGCTTCTTAATCATAATGGAGATGCCCAAGCTCATAAAAGGCTTTGAGAAGTCTATCACTTCTTCCCGCACCAACGTAATAGTTAGAGGAGCCACAGCTATGTCAGCTCTCTGTGAAAATGGGAACAGGCACACTGGGAGTTAGTCATACAGAATAAATAACCAACAAAAGTGTTACATGGTTAATTAGTAAAGAAAACATTGATAAACTCAAAGTCAAACCAACAACCATGACTATTGACAAGTCACACTGCCTTATAAACACATATACATGCCCAGGCCGCAGCTTCAAAGTGCATTCATGGTGAAAAGAGATTGGATGCGGTGCGACAGCTGAGAAAATACTGAATAGCAGACCTGTGAAAATGCCAGTGAGAGGGATATCTGCCATTTGAATGTGAGTCACTCAGCATTTGTGTTGGCTAATGTCTTTGTCTCGATCCAGATCTCCTCCAAGCATCGAGCAGAGGGTTGGAAGACAGAGGTGGAGGAGCTTATGTAAGCTGTCCATCAAATGTGAATCTATTTAAATTACCTCCATCAGATCCTCTATGAATTGGTATCTCACTGCAGTGAAAAACAGTGACATGCTTGCTGGTATTGAGACTAAACTGAACACCAAAATATAAAAATATTTAACAGAGGATTCATATAAGGTCAGGAGGGGTCTCAGCCAAAAGTGTCCAGTATTTATTCTGGATTCAAAACACCATGGCTATTTTTCTTTTTACGATATGTCATTTATTTTTGTCTTTGTCAATACAGGGAGGTCTGCAGTAAAGCACAGCGGTCTGCGAATTAGCCGTAACAGCAGAAACTACAGGTGTTATAAATGACAAATAAATGTAATTTTTCACATTATTTATTCAGTAGCAGAGACTCTATAAAAGATGCAAATAGTCTTGTCCAATCTGGTTCAAGTGTGAGTGAGCCACGAGATGGATGATATAAAAAAGTTGAGCAATTTTACAGTTGAAGAAGGGCTTTCCAAAACTAACTCGGCCCGCTTTGAGTATCAGATGTAACATGGCTGTGAATGATGACAGGATTATTTTACAACTGCTGCTGCCATCTGCACTGCTTTAAGACAACATATTTAACCTTTCTTGATTGTGGCATGGAGTATTTTACTTGGCTTACGAGAAAGGACAGAGAATTATACTTGCACCATATTTTGACTAAAAATAGGCCTTGTGAGTAATATGAAAAGCCTTTCTTATGTTCAAATGTGATGAACACTTCAAGACATTTACAATGCTTCACAATAATCTGAACCAATCTCAGGTTTAAAGCAGGGGTAGGTTTTTTTCTCATCACTGGGCAAACATTACATACAAACCTTTCTTTGTGATTCTGAGAGAAAACTAGACTTCTGAACCTTGTTTTTATGCTTTAGAAATCAAAGTCGAGAGAATTTGTTCAACGACGGGTAATTTCAGACACAAAAACAGTTTTTACAAATCCAGACGCACGCACACATCCCTTCAAATAACAAAGGTCTTATATTATTCCTGCAGAAAAAGTTGCTATTCAAGCATTGGTAACAACGGCCTACTCTGCAAAGCAACCCACAAAAACAAAACAAGGAATAAGTCTGACAATGCACGCAATAAAACACATGTCAATATTGGTGAATGTGACGAAGGTAACCTTGTCACTGATGGCTTCGGGCCTTGCATATGTGCACATGTTTATACAGTTTCTATTATTGATGTACTGTAGTGTTTATTGTATTTTATTTTGAAATGTGTTCCCCTTTCTCCATGTCTGTTGTCATTGATTGTGTGCACCTGGTGCCCTGTGGTGTCTCCTCCCCCCTCACCTGTGTCCTGTTGGGTTGGGCATTTAGGCTCTGGGGTTTTGCTGTTTGGGAGAGAGTGTGTGTGAGATCCTTGTGGCTGCAGGCTGTGGTCAGGGAGAAACAGCAGGATTGAGGCTGTGTGTCATGTGTTCCTGACTTAATAAATGCCCACACCGGGTTGTATTTTGGACGTTCTGCCTCTGCCTCCTTGCTTGGTCGGGCCGCTCAATTGTCAGCTTCACAGTGAAGCTTTTCAGAGAGGGAAAACACCTTGTTACTAATACCTTAGCCTTCTGCTAACCCTAGCCAAATGCTCACGACTGCAGCAAATTCTAAATCATGTTTCGGTAAAGTCTCAAATCACAGGGCTGTGGACAGAGCTGCAGGAAGATGACTGTCATTTGAATTTTTTTTTGTTGCCTTTACCAGAAAACTGCCTACCCCGGCTTTAAGTAGAACAAAATGATAAAAGATGAACAGTTAAGCCCCTCCCCTTTAAAAGCTGCACAGGCGTTCTGATACTTACCCCATACACCAGTTCACCCACCATCCCGTTCCACGTCTTGGTCTCCGGGTCTCTGGCTCCGTACTTCCCATCCGGGACTACCGACAGCTTATATCTTATGCCCACATGTTTCGCAATTTCAGAAGCTAAATCGACACAGTAGCCTTCATATCTGTCATTCCCATCCATCAGCATATGGTTTTTCTTGTACATCACATACGGAGCTTCCTGTTAATTAGACATAATTATGAGTTCATTGAAAAAAAACACACACATCCACAGTGGCCACACCAAGGCCGTGATTGGCGCTGAAAGCATGCACACATGCTGGGGGAACAAACAGACAGATGTGGGGGACATAAAAAGACAAACAGAGCGGGGGTAAGAAGGATTTACGCAGCAGTCGAGTTATTGGGAGACAGGCTGAAAAAGCGGGTCGCTGCAGAGGAAAGAGGCCGACTGGGCCAGCAGGAAGAGCAAAGCATCTGAGAGATTCAAAGGAGGCAAAGCAGGTTTCCTCATGCTAACCTCATCCGCAACTTCAACCTGTGGATATGGGTAATAGGGTGATGAGGGGGAGGTGATGGGGGGGAAGGTGATGGGGGGGGGGGGTGCACATGGAGCAGGACAAGCAGAATGGAGCACTTTTCCAGTTCATAAAGTAAAAGTCAGTGATAGAAGAGGGACACATCAAAAACTAGGAGATGAATCGAGTCATCGAACAAATATCAAGCTGAAAACGTGCGAGCCACGTCAGAAGAGTAGTTGTATGACTAAAATAAAAAGGTCATACTGGTTCTTTTCATTCATTACTATCATGACAATAAAATAATCTGCTTGTTGTCTCGATTATGTCATTTGACTATTCCGCATCACCTCTGTGCCTTGGATTTCAATAAAATATGTTTTTTCCCCAAAAGGGAAACCATGTTTGCCATCAAACCTCTTTTCAATGTCACCTTGAGGATATTCAGCAATGGAGATTTATTTTGTCAAAGGCGTGAATATGTTTTTTCAGAGGTTTTTAGACTAAGTATTGGAGGAGACTGTTATGTGATGTTTTCACAGTTTCACTCCTTTGTTGTTGGAAGTACTTTCTTACCTTCTTTTCTCTATGCGGTCATGTACACTGTTACAAAAAAACTAATGAAAGAGTCGCACCCTATAATAATAGGAAGGCCTTTCATTGATTATGGCACTTTACTTTAAAGTTATGGAATGTAAGAAAATCAACATGAAGTTAATGACATGACTGTAATGTATCTCAAACGATTTATTCAAATCAAAGGCATGCCTGGCAGTGAGAAAATAATACGATGACTCTACTCTTCTGTTTTCCTTTCCTCAATATTCCTGCCTGCTCATGAGGACAATGAGTTACTACACATTGAAATGAGAACGTATGACTATTACATTCTGAATTTGTCTAACATGAAAACATAATAGGCAAAGTCAGAAGGAACAAGAGGCCATGGTTTTAAATGTAAGATAAGGAGCACCTTATCTTACATTTAAAAATGGCTGATGATTGACCTGTGATAACGTCTGTAGCTAGCACTGAGTCTAACGCTGAGCCTGGCTGAGCACTGTGTTTCTTTTTTCATTAATACATTATAATTCAGTGCCAAGATACATTTGGACAAAGAGATAAACAGCCAAAGGTTGTAGCCTTTGGGTGTTTATGTCCTCCTTGTGTGCAGATCATTTGATGTCTCCAGTGAGACACAGCTGATTCACCCCCTCGTCACTGACACTTTACTTAATGAGAGGGAAACATGTTTACTTACGTATGCACTGAATGTGAATAAAATGGTGTATATCATTATAGTTATCATTACCAAAGCCGTTATTGTGACGTCACTACTACAACAGCCCACCGTTGTATAAAAAAACTAAAATGCTTTGGCACCCACACGGATACAGTTGAAACACTCTTCGTGAATCGACTGTTTCAACATGTAGTGAGTGGATGGAAAGCAACTCAAAATAAAATAATTCTACCCTCCCAGGACAGATTGCAACAATGGACACCTTGACCTTGAGTGGCAGAAATCTTAAGGTGAAACACTTAAAAACTGCTTGAAAGTGTACCATAATAGTAGTGACCACAATTGTTCGGTTTTCCACAGAAGAGGACTCGTTGGTGACTTGCGGATCCATAATATAAACAAACTTTTCGTACTCATTCCAGTAGCCGATCTGTAAACGACACAGAGGTTCACAGTTATTATGAGAAACAGAAATGCATTTCACAGGAAAGCCTCCAAGTGTGCGAGTTGGTTGGCTCCATCTGCACAGCGGGAGGCTTTATTACTTTTGCGTGATGTAGGATTTTATAAAAAGCTTATAGTGGAGCTTCTCACTTCACTTGTGCTACACTACAGCAGAGTAGGCGTAATCTATTCTTGGTTCAGCAAATGTTCTCTTACATAACAAGCCGAACTAGCTGAGCAATACAACACTGACTGACAAAATTCAAACCAGAAAGACAAATCTAATAATCTACATGTGCCTTATCTAGCCAGTGCAGTAGGTTGTTCTACTGATCTATTAATACCATCACAAAGCACACTGAGAATAATGTAGCACAAAAACAAACACTGGTCTCTATCTACTAAATCTGGGATGATTCCAGTGGCTTTGTTGTCTTTTCTTTTGTTGCATTCGGCTATGAAGAAACCGTCGTCTCCCACTGGTGGTAGCTACTGTATGAAGCACAATACTCACTCTGTTGTCACTGCGGATTGTCTCACACTGAGTCTGGGTGTGCGGGCCGCTGTGATGCATGTTGCCATGTGAGCTGAACTATGTGACAGTATGGGGCCACTTCCTTTTGGGGGCCAGCTTTTGTAGGGACCTTGTCAGAGGTCAGGGTCGAGGAGCTTGCCAAGCCACAGCACTGTGTGTGTGTGTGCGCCAGGATTATTTTTCCCTTTATACCAAGTCCAATCACAGCGCTAAGGGATCAAGTGGGTGCAGTGACTCCCTCAGAATATGGAAGTAAATCATCAAAAGTCCAACTGAAACTAGCTTTTCTTTCCGATAATAATTAAACATTTTTAAAGTTGAAAAATAAAACATTGGACATATATTAGAGAGATTCTTTTAGCTTTAAGTGTCCATGGTGGCAGATCAATGTACTTTACAGTTAGTAGACTTGCTCTGGTAAGTGTCGTTTACAGGCTAATGAGGGAATAGAAAGTATTTTGTTAGTGGTATTGAAGAAAAGAACCAAATCATTAAGCTTCTAAACAAACAGACATTGACAAGCTGTCAAGATGAATTGCTAAATGTCTATATTGAGCGATTGCAATTCCCACCTGGTCGTTTGCTTGTTTGTTTAGCAAGCCAAGGCACAAACCAAGACATGTTTCCTGTTCAAGTTTGTTGACAAATGGAAACACTAAAGCTACTGTGTGCTGCAGCTCTCCTAGTGTTTATCTCTTTTCTTAATCTATATTACATAAAAAATAGATATTATAATCTATCCTCTTTTACAGTGCTATGTTCTTTGTGTTGTATTGTTGTATTTAGATTGTGTTGTTAAGAACCTTGTAATTTCCAGATTTGCATAAAAGACGCTTTATTATCATCTTTTTACATTTCCTCCATTCTGGATATTTAAAAGTAGAGAAATCGAATTTACATAGCTGATCTTTATGCTGTAGAACAAAAATAAAAATGCACTTTAATTCAGGTGCCTTACAAGAGCAGCTAACTCACCTTGCAGCATCCTTATTGAGTTTGAATCGAGAATGTTATGCCATATTGAACCTTTCCCTAGAGGAAAACAACTGGACTGAACACATATACATCATAAACACTGCATAATAGATGCTTGTAATCTTCCAAAGTGAGCCCACACCTTACACTGAGCTTGTTTTCTGACAAAAGGCACTCCATAGGCATTTGCTTTATGCAATTCATCCATACTGATGCTTCAGATGCCTGCTTGGACAGATGTCACTGGATTCAGCATCAACATTGAAAGTTGGAACCACCTGGTAGCTCTTTGGAAACACCAAAGTTCTTCTAAATGATCAACTGTAATCTGGTTCTGAATAAGTGAGAGGCAATAAATAGGCAGTAGTAAATTAATACCTCACTTTTGGGCTACAACATGTATTTAAGTGGCTGTAAGTGATGTATCCGAGTTTTGAGCCATGTCATCATCCTAACTGCCGCTCCCCAGAGATGCAGATTGGTTAAGCTTCAACCTTCATGGCTCGGTTTATTTTCAGTGGATGTTTTTCAGATTCAAATCTCAGAGGGGATGTTAGCTCAAATTATTTGGGCTGGTTTTGCAAGACTGGCTACTGGCAGCTTCTGTCCAAATTAAAACCAATGTTACTACTTGTGCCAACATGCCAAGTAAGAACACCCCCGTCACAGAGCTGCTTAAAGTGACTTTATTAATGTTTGTGGATTCCAAACATACATCACGTATATATCTATTACATATGCTAATCCAGCTCAGTGATTTTTAATTACACATTAATTAAATTATGAGGGAGAGGCTGTGTGCCCACTTACCTTACGGGGGCCAGCAGCCTTCATCTCGTACACTTCAATAGTGTAATTAGAGCGGCGGCCAAATGTGTCAAACTGGATGTTTCCTGTCATACCTTGTACTTGGACCTGCCAGGCACCAAGAAAATAAGGATGATACTTCATATGTAAACATGCATTGAATGGTCTTGATGATTTATGGTGTATTAACGGTCTTACAAATGTGATATATTCAATTAAATAAGGTTCTGGAGGTAACACGTTTGAATAACATCATAATAAATAATACATTGAATGTTCAAAACAATTTGAAGAATAACATTTAAAAAAGGTGAATAACTATTTGAAATGATAACATGTCTGTAATATGAAATAATTAATTTATAAATGATATAGTATCATAGCTGATGAGAGGCGATACAGCTTAATATGTTATATGCTTTATTAATTCTTTGTTAATGGTTTTCATGGGTAATAATTAGATTCTGGTTTAAAAAATAATTTGGTAAAGTATTAACTACCCAATTAAATAATGTTTATAAATGCTTTTAAAGTTAATTATAACCATTTAACAAGTTATTATAGTCCTCACTGTCAACTTTATATTTGTCATCCAACAGACGTTTAACCAATTAATCAACAAAATGTTATCTGGTCCATAATCTTACTGACGTTTTACTATTTAATTTAACTTTTAAACATATTTTGATAATCATTAACAACTACCTTATACAATATATAAAATGGCATAATGTGTGCAACAATAAATAGTTAAAATAACAAACTTTACCATCTTAAATATGAGTTAAATATTATAAAATGGCATTTTATTCAGTAAAATAACAAAAAACTAAAGTGTAATGAACTATCAATTTACCATTTATTAAGGATATTTAAAATGTAAATGTACCATACAGTTCAATTGAAAACTTTTGAAGCAGAATATAAGTGAAGTGATGTAAAGCGAATATTAGACAGTCATTAAAATAAAAAAGCAAAGCAGTTCAGACAGTGATCGCCCTCAGTCCTACCATTTTGAGGGCTCTCTCTATGTCGATGCCTTGGCTCCAGGGCACAGCGGGGTTGGCGAGGCAGTCGCCCGCGCTCCCCCTGCGGGACACGTCCACTCGCTGCCGTCGAAGGTACCGGAAGGCCTCGGCGATCACGAGGATGGCATCGTGGGTCAACGCTGATGTGTACTGAGACAAAAGGCCACAAGAAACCCCGGTGACGCACCGCTGACGTCATGCACCCTTCACAGCTATCAAAGCAAGGTTACCATCACAAAAGCACTGCTGCTGAAAAATCAAAGCCTCGCAGTAGGACTGACATCAAAACGGTGCGAATATGAAAGACGCCTTTATTCAAGGGCAAGCAAACGACAAGTTATTTAAGAAAAGATGGAGATTGACAGAGAGAGTTACTACTTTAAGACTCGGAGGAAGTAGTGCGGGAGAAAAAGTGTCTTTGAAGAAGTGAAATAAAATGTAATTGCAGCATCACCAGCTCTGCCTTACTGACCTTCAGTGGAGTGTTTTTGGCTTCTGGAAATTCTCTTTCATCCAGGCGCTCCCAGCGCTGGAGGAACTGCTGGACGATGGGGCTGTCTGGGTTGATGATCTGGAAGCCTGTGATGTTGGCTCCACCAGAAGTCACCCTGTCCAGGCTCATGTTGGAAAACCCCTGGGAGCAAAGAGCACAAATGGCTGGTAGTAGAGCGGGGGATCATTAGCAGCTGAGAAAGAAATGCTCTCGCTTGCCCATCACTTATTACTGCACTTAAATGTCTATCAAAACCACAGATTGAGAGTATTTCTATGCATTGCATCACAGCCAGCAATGTTGTGCTCACCAGGTTGGCGAGTATATAATGGTATCCTCTGCCGTTTTTTCCCGAGGTCACCACCTACAAGTCACAGGAGGAAACACACAATGAGTCACAATCTCATAACGCCGAGAACATTGAGAGGACTGAGAATCAGAAATGACAAAGACCTTTAATTTTATAACGGTTGGTAGAGAAAAAAAAAAGGAATGAAGGGAGAGGCAAGGCCGTGAGGGAGAGGGAGCGTGTGACTTTTTACATTTGTGTGTGTTTGTATGAGACACACACAGAGAGGGGAGAAACTGTGATGACAGCGCTTGTTCCTTTCCATTAACTTCAACTTGTAAAATAAGGTCATCTCCCTCTCTCTCCCTCCCTCTCCTCTCTCTCTCTCTCTCCCTCTCTCTCCCCTCTCTCTCCCTCTCTCTCTCTCTCTCTCTCTCTCTCTCGCCCTCTCTCTCCTGTATCCTCCTCCTCTCCTCTCTCCGTCTCTGCCTCTCTCTCTCTTCTCTCTCTCTCTCTCTCTCTCTCCTCTCTCTGCTCTCTCTCTCTTCTTCCTCTCTCTCTCTCTCTCTCTCTCCTGTAGGCCTCTCTCTCTCTCTCTCTCTCTCTCTCTCTCTCTCTCTCTCTCTCTCTCTCCTGTAGGCCTGTCAGTCCCACACTAGACTTAATTAAACCCAAACGTTGTTCAGCACCTGTCTGACCGAGCAGACGTGGAGAAAGCTGCACTCGCTGATTTCTTTAAACTTGTTCGCCACCTCACTCTTTTGCATGCACTCTCTTTCCCTCTACATATCTCTCTCCATCCTCCATCGCAGAGTACAGAGCTTCAAAAAGATACTGTGGGGGTGGATAGTTGCATTTTTTTCCCTCCCTGTCTTTTCACTTTCTACACTCCCCCACAGTTTAGTTATAAGTGTACTCAGGCACTGAAATCCGCTAAATGTTGAATGTCCAAAATGATAGTGGTATCATGTTGGAGAGATTTTATAGAGGACTTGAATACAGATGAGAGATTTGAGATGTCACTACCGCACTGACACAAAGACATGCATCCCTGTGGTATATTTCCAGTGTTTTTTCCCTCTTTTTCATTTCGGCATGGCAGACAAAGAAGTATTAATTGTTGGGTTTTTATTCAGTGCATGCATTCTCACACCTGTGCTTCCATTTACACCTGCACTTTAAACTCTCCTGCCTAAATGTCTTGTAATTGTCTCTAGAGAGGGAATGTCCTTGATGCTCCAAGGTTGCCCCTCCGACCGGCTTACTCTCGCTCACAAATTTCAACAATAAATCCAATTATTCTAATCGGAAATGCTAAAATGATTTCATTGTGTTTGACATGTTGCACCTCTCACCGCTGACTCTGAAAGCCTCCCACACACTACGTTGTCCTCATAAGCCAAAAAACAGCTTTTCAGCTCTTCCAAATTGTCTTGAAAAGCTTTGTCATTTGCTTTTCACCCATGTGAGGGAGAGGGAGCCGCAGTGACCCAAGTGGAGCAACACAGCGAGCATTTAATGAAGCTGCAGCGCCTCGAGTGACTGGCTACAACCGCCGTTCGTCACCAGCACTCTCAGGCAGAAAGCACAAGACTTCACACTATATGAGCATCCAAATGTGTCACCTCGACTAAACCAGCTGTTGGGAAATAATCAACTGTAAACATGTAATGCTTGCTGTAGCTACAAGCTTAACAAAAACAGAAACGATTGTGTGGCAGCAGTTTCTCTTTTGTTTGGCGTTTTACTGGTGAGTAACAACAGAGGCTAAAGTTGAATGAAGTTCATTTTAAATATCCCAAACATTTCATGCATGGATTTCAAGACTAAGTGTAAAGCGCTGAGCATCCAAAGGGCCATATTTCTTCAGTCAATCACTGTTGATTTGATATACTTTCATGCACACCTCGTTGACAGATGTAACACTTTGTTTTTGTGTCAAGTGTTTATTTTAAGACAACCTGAAGAAGACAAAGTCCCTGAGAGCTGCTTCTGGTTTTTTGAGCATATTTGTATTCACACAATCAGTCAGTGAACCAGACCTAACTCAAAACTGCACAAGCTATGATACAGTACAAAGAACACTGTGCTATCACTTTCCATAATACTTCACTGTGTTTCATTGTGAACATCAAAAAAACTGAAGGATATAATATCTACAAATAAACTATGGAGTTACATTTGTGATATTCAACAGATTCTAATCAGAAAACGTATTAACTAATTATTCAGTTGAATAAAACACATACATTAATGTTAGCATAACTATGTGTTTGGTCCTTTTTACTTTGTACTTCTGTTTTTACTTTTGTGTATTGTATATATTGTGGCTTGTAATGTTAATGTGTATTATTACCTGTCTAGGGACTACGGTTGTAAATTGGCATGACATTTACATAATGTATTTTATACAAATACAGTTGCACTCTTCAGTAATCCCTTTGTAAATAAACTAAATGGGAAAAATAATAATGTCCACCTTCTAAAACATAAACAAGCTACATTTAAAGTGCAATTGTTCTGCCTTTGCATGAGAATAATACATGTTTTGTAAATAATGATATCATTTCCATTTCTGTAGGATTTACTCCATCCTTCTGTTGGCAGTGATCTTCTTGAAAAAGCATTTGGGCATTACAAATATTTGTAGGATCCTGATGCTCCAGTTTCATGGTCCTCTGGGAGAATCTCTCTATGTGAGTGTGTGAAAGCACCGGGAAGAGGATGAGGTCAGGCACAACAGCCACTGAGAGACGGGCACTTTGATTGTCCCACGACATCTCCTACTCTGTCAAAATCCTTTTCTAACAAAAAGGCTTCTTCAAACTGCTTGGGGGAATAGAGACCTGCAGGCTGTAAGTGAGAGGAAGCCTGCAGCTCTGATTGTACTCACTGCCTCCTACATCCTCAATGCTCATTGAAGGGAAAGGATAGTGGTCTAAGTGCCATGCCTTGTCAATTTTCTTCTATGTTCTCATCGGGGAACCGTCCAAAGTGGATCTAATATGAAGAACGCTGAATCATATAAACATCTCCTAAATGAGTTGTTCTTTGGTTGATATGTAATCCCTGTGCCCATGACATTTCCTTATGAATGAGAAAAGGACAACCCTATTTATAACTGAAAGGTAACATGTGCAATGTTTGACCACTTGTAGCGCTGTGGAGCAATGTTTTTAAGAGTTGGTGAATATTTTGCTTGACAAACACTCACATGAGAGACATGATACACATTCCTCCATGGTTTCATCATGCAGACGGCATGCTAGCAAAAAATATGTAAAAATGCAGGTTTAAAAAGGTGAGCTATTTAACTTAGGGAGATTGGATGTTGTAGTAAAACTGTGGTGTTTTAATGGAGTGCTACAGAAAAATGCCATTAATATGTTCATCTATAACTGACCTTGCTCTGTTACAATTGCCCTTCTTTTTTAAATGTCAGTTTATTTATTAAAACTCTTTTTTGAGTCCCACCTCAGGGATGCTCTGTTAAAACATTCTCTTGCACTATTTTATCTGTTTTATGTGTTATGTCCTATATTCGTGTTGCACTGTTGGAGAAGCCTGTGACTCAAGATTTGCATTGCCATTTCTACAGGTACTGTGCTAATGACAATAAAGCCTTGAATCTTGAATCCAAAAAGAACAAAATAAATCATAATAAAAAAGTATTTAGCTAAGCTAACTGGCTGATGCTATTTAAAGGTCCCATGTCATGCTTTTCCGGCTATTACCCGTCCCCTTGTGTGTTATGTAGCTTTTTCTGCATGTAAACGGTCAGCAGAGTCACAAACCCTCAAAGTACACCCTGTAGCGAGTAAAACTCTAACACAGAAAAGTCCTGTCTATGCTGCCCCAGAACGCCTCGTTGGAGATTTCTCTTTTTCCATTTTTTTCTTCCTGAGTACAGTGACGTGACCATACCCAGCTGCAAATGGACCAATCCTCACACACACACACACACACACCACACACACACACACACACACACACACACACACACCACACACACACACACACACACACACACACACACACACACACACACACACACCACACACACACCACACACACACACACACACACACACACACACACACACACACACACAAACTCAGCCTTATCTTTTCTCAGGCTGTGAGTGTGTGGCGAACAGCCTGGCTTTGAGTGTATGTGTGTGTGCTCAGGCTGAGTTCCGCGGTGTCTCGCTGTCTCGCAGACCCCACGCAGCAACCAGGAAACCACACCAGTAAGCCAGCTCACACTGTCCGCTCCTCGAGCCTCAAAGGGCGGAGCAGCGAGCCCCGCAACGTCCCGCCAACACGGCACCCAGACCCCACGCAGCATTCTCATCTGTTTGTCATTTTCTGGTTGCTAACAAACGCCATTGTAACACACAATCACTGATGTCCAGCTGTAGCGGTGGTGGACTCATCAGAACAGAGTGGGCGAGCTGACCAATCAGAGCACAGTGGGCTCATAGGGAGGGGGGGGGGGGGCAGGAGCTCCAACAAGCCGTGTAGGACAGAGAGTGAATACACATACTATACAGAGAAGCTGTATGAGAAACCAATGTGAGTTTGGAACATTGAACAATGTAAATCTATTCTAGTAGACCTCAACAATGGAATTATGATCAGTAGAAATGGCCATGTCATGGGACCTTTAACATACATACTTTAGAGTCTCTCTTTTCCCAGAAAAACATTAAACATTTCCTAACTTTAGACCCCAAATCCAAAATTGTTGTCCAATATTCAAATCATGACCAAACTCTGCATAAAACAAAGCACACGCTCTTCCAACCCTCTTCAGCGTAATGCAATTAGATTAATCAAATAAAGCCAGCCTAGAGATTTATACATCTATACATTAGTATTCCCTTCTCTGAGGATGTAATCAGGCACATGGGGCCCTCTCTGACTGCTGTGCAGGAGACAGGAGGGGGGACAGACTGAGAGCAGTTTTCTCAGGTCCCAATTATCTTTATTTGTCCATCGACAGGGCTCCTCCTGCCCGTCTGTCTGCGCGAGCGACTCTGTGATGTGCCGTTTGAAGCAGGCCTGAGCCGTGCCGAGCTAAAGCACCATCAGCCTAAATATTCCTGAGGGAGCAGACTCTAATTAAGCAGACTGGAGCCACAGTCCTGTGCGGAGCTGGCGGTCTGCCCAGGCGCCTTCCACAGGATTTGACTCTCTTCCCACTGATGGAGGCTTATCTTTGTTACAGTGATTTGTCATCTGCCATCTTCAGAAGTGGAGCGGGCATCCTAAGGTTGATGACTGAGCCTTTTCAACAGTCAAATCATTATTGTTATGCTACTCCAAACTGGGAATGATGCAAGGAGGGGCTGTGTATCACTCATTGCTCCAAAGTCCTTGTTTTTATCAGCCCTTACCCTAAAGAGGACACTTTGGATGGATAGTAGATTATTATGAGACTCCTGTCTGTCTTTTTGCAAATGATATTACACAATATGAATTCAATTTCATTCAGATTTTGAAGGAACTTTAAACATGTGGTATGTTCAATTCAGTTATTTTCATTTAAATTGTTATATTGCATTAAAACATGACCTTTATTCGGTATTACATTTATTTATTTCAATATGAGCGTTTCATTTATAAAAATGTTAGTGCAGCATGATGGTTCTTCCTCTTTCTGTTGCCATCAGCTACACACTTTGAATACAATCTTCTAATTGAATGCCAACCTCTAAAAAGGATGTGTATGAAGTTGTAAATGCCCTTGCTTTCCTTGTTACATTTGTGCACTTGCCAAATCTCCTGCTTACTTGTGTTTGATGTTGTTTCTCATTTTGTGTTGCTTTCAACTCAGGCTCCTCTAGGGTCTCCTTTGGATGCTGGGTTACAAAGAAGACTCCTCTTTTACACTCAATGTTTTTCTTTCTTCAATAGCCATGTTTTCTTGTTTGTAATGAAAGTAAAAGACAGGAAATGAAGGTCTAAGTACAGATAGTTGTCTTGTTGTTGTGGTTTAATTGCAGGAAAACGTAGTTCATTCTGCTCTTACACATTATTATTTGAATGTGGAACAAGTAACAAAGATAAGGAAGTGAGGACACTACAAAGGAAAACTAAATGTGTGTTATTCATTATTTAGTGTAGCCTCAGGTCAACTTATTAGAGAGACTCAGATGTTCTTGGTCTTTAGTTAGTTTTTGGTTTCAACTGCAGTGACATGTTTTGTTTTACATGGATTACTTTGCAATGGTTAAATGTATCCCTGTTTACATTTACATTGAATGTTTCCCGCCAAATCATTAAAGCCTTACAAAATACTGAATGCATTTCCCATCTCTAAGCAAAATCACTGTTGAGCATCGTTTGCATATTTTCTTATTCTTCTCTTTTCAAACTAATGATATAATTTGCCTCAGCTGTACTTTGGGTTTGTTGCAAATTTGCAAATGTATAAACTAAACATGGAAAATAAGAATTATGACTTGATAACCTTAGAATGTAAGCATTGTCATTGTGATCATGTTAGCATGCTACTTTTGGCATTAATCTAATGACCTGATATAATAATAGTAGTTGTAGTAGTTACATCCTACTATCCTTGCTGTAGATGTAGGATGTAACGAGAACAATACAATACAATTCAAATGTATGAAACAGAAACCATTTGTTATGTCATGGCCTTTCAATCAATGCCTACGCAACACCGTGTACAACGCTACAATTCACATACAGGATTAAATAACATCCACCCAGATGTAATCTCATCCCTAACACAGCATCCTGTTTTACTATCCTACCCTCTGGGTGTGGAATTCCAGCGCACCTCTGGGTGTTCAGCACTCCTCCTGTTTCCCTCCACAGCACTAGACAGGCGGACTCACACTACATGGCTCAATTCCCACAAGCTCTCTCTTTTCCTCTCCCTGACTCTTCCTCTGTCGCTCCACTGTGAGGAGGAGACTGGAGGTGACTGGACCTCTGGCACAGTTATAAATCCACTGCACTTCTATTATTGATGAGAAGCCTTAAAGGTGTTTATCGCCCCGTCTTTACTTTAGTGAAGGGATGAGCAGACTGATGCTTTGAAAGGCGGTGAGAGAGCCAGCAGGGGAGGAAGAAACCAAAACCTGCTAATACAGAACAAATTCGAGGAAAATGATTGATGGGTGTCTGTTTATAAATGAATTGACTGGGTAAAACAAAAGCCTGAATGCTGAATTTAATGATTACAGTGTTGCAGTATATGATGTCAAATCCTTAACACTGGTTATGAAATGAATCCGGTCCACAATGGTTGCTTGCTGATGCCTGATCTCTTTGTTGTGTTTGCTCACTCCTGCCTTTGTGAGAGATCTTCCCTCGGGCTACCAGGGTAGGCTATTTATAGTAGGCTCATTGTTGTTGCTGTTATGGGACAGTGTGTCCTACTTACACTGGGAGCTGATATTACATTAAAGCAAGTGTTGATGTCACAGATTGTATAAGAAGTCATTCTCAGGAGATATCTTGCCTCGCCGCTCTCCAGCATCGTGAAATACCTTCGTACGACAGGCGCTGCCTGCGAGGCCACCACTCGCATTTATCCGCCACAGTAAAGAGATTACAATCGGATCCGCCTGACGTGACACAGAGCTATCGCCATTATCTGATAACTTGAATCTAATATGCAGGCGATTTGAGAACATTTGAAGAATTCCTTCAAATGAACGTGAAGGGCAGGGGGGAGGAAACTTCCCTTTATTAATGAAAATGTCCTGTGCTGTCACACAAAAATATTCCCCCAGCGTCACAGGAAATGAAGACAGAGTGCAGTGAAGGTCAGAGTTAAACTCATAAGGCCGGCAATAATGAAGGTCATTATGTAGAGGGCAGACACCTTTACACACAAATATCTCAGCAGAGAACAGAAGGTTAAGATGTGCGTGGGATTAATGGTTTAAATGAGCACACACACATCAAAAACAAACTATACTTGTGGGTTTAACGGGTTTAATAACTCATTACTCTGCTCAGCATTTGTGTAAATACCCCCGTTATGCCCCGTTACAAGTGAAACTACAGTGGCAAAAGCAATTAGCAAGAAATGATAAATATCTGCATGTAATTGTATTATTGCACTTGGTAAGACAATTTCAAAAATAATGTAACAGTGTATAAAACCTAATCCAAAGGGCAATACAACAACATATTCTGCTTTAGTTTTGCCTTGTAAGAGAGGACATTATTATTTGTAAAGGTTTAAGACGTCACCTGTTAGGAGGTTGATTTAAGCCACATTTTTTCAAAGAAGAACAGTCTTACATTAAACTAGTGTACTGTATATTGCCTTTTAAAGGGGTGTATTATACAGGTTTTTGTGCATGTAAATGGTCTGCAAAGGCTAAAATCCCAAAGTTCCCTCCAGAAGAGTTTCTCTCCCTTTCACTATGGTGCAGTGCTAAAATGGTTAAATGGTTTCAAGTCATACATATAATTGTCTAGTCTATAGAAGTCCAGCTCCCTCATAATTACAGTGAATAGTTATGTCACAATCAAGTACATTTGCAAGCCTCTAACCATGGGGTTTGCCTTGAGATATGAGATCATATAAACATATAATATTGTGTCATCGAATATTGATACACATAAATGTAAATGCACTATTCCAAGTGTCATTTATAACTAACTATCCCCCCCTCACACTAATAAACAACCACATTCCTAGATTGAGATATTATCAACAATCATCCATCTAATTAAAACACCATCCATTTCCCCGAAGCAAAAGTAAAACAGATGAGAAACTCAATCATGTATTTAACTGCACACACCATGAGATACACTCTGAAAACATTTGCAGGCTGAGATGTGACCAAATGTGCAACATAGCTTCTAATGCGCACTAATGATCTTCTGAGAAAGTAAGCAAAATCCCAGTTAACCTTTATTTAATACGTTTTCGACAATGAAGTACTCTCTGCGGTGCAGAGACTGAGCAGCACTGAATCTGAATCTAGACTCATGTGGGAAAAATGTAGCTGACGATCACCTAGGAAACAAGGATGAGGAGGCTGTCTAATTCTTCCATGTGAATTAAGCCCATGGTGACCTCAAACAACGTGCGCGCAAAAAAACCAAATAACAAAACTGAATTGAGTGTGCCCGTCTCGCTTGTTTTAACGTTGTCTTCTAAATGAGAACCTCAAGATCTGAGGCAATCAAGATGCACTCTGTGTGTTTAAGGTAATACAAATAAATAAATGAAAAGTGCGGAGCGAACAGAGGCAGGAGAGTGCTTCAGTTTAGAGACAAAACACTGTGTTTACTCCTTTTCAAATAACACTGGAACACGCAGTCCCCTGACACTCAAAGGGTTTTCAAGGACAGATATTTGGTTTCCTGTGTGTTCTTTTTCACAAACCAAGCAGGAGGAACTAGTCATGTGTGTTGGCTTCATACCTGCTCCAGTATGGAGTTGATCCTCCCCACCTCACAGTCAATGAGAAAGCGTTTCTCCTGCCGGCGGTCCATCTCCTCGATGATTCGTCTGTACTCAATGGGATCCACAACGTTCCCCACCGAGCGGGCTGTCACCTGCCAGTTATTGGCAACGGCTGACTCCATGATGGCCTGGAGGATTGCAAAACCTGGAGGAGTAGAGGGAGAAGAGCTCCATCACACAACTGTCTTCAGCCGGAGAACAGCAGAAGGTAAATGCTGTGCTGAGACTTCAAATGGCTGCGAGGGTATTCTGGCTTTCAACATGCTTTAATGTCTAACAGCTTTTTATTACAGCTATTAACAAAGTCATGATGCAGCGATTACATATTTATCTGCACAATGAAACCCCCTTGTAAGAAATAAAATGAATGTTTACAGCAGGTAAACAAGGTATTGAAGCAAGTGGTTGCAGAATAATAAGGTCTGATCCGTATCCATGTGGGTGTTATTCAAAGAGACTCTAGACAATAGAATATAGATGGATGGGAGAATGAGTCTGAACAATATGCTCAGATTCTCTTGTTTTGTGAATGTACGCTAATTAAACATCTCTGTCTAAAACAAGCAGATTATAAATAAGAAAGCAGTCAAGACAGACAAAGCAGATTCAGGAAAAAAGACAGAGAAGTCCACAGAGAGGTGGATGTACCCACAAAAGATTCAGTTAAAACTGTGGCAGACATAAAGAAATACGTAATGAACTAACTATTATAACTGGGAACTGGCTGTGTCCCATGTTGCCTGAGCAGCGTGTCACAGAAGGTCACCGCACTTATCTCTCTTTCCTGCGTCACTCAGCAATTCAAAACTGGCTAATGTAAGGCTAGAGTTAACACAAGTAGGGAGCAAAGACACAACAACAGTAAGACATGTAGCACAGGCTCCTGCAGATGAAGTGAAACGGACTGCAAGCAGTTTGAGGAGCACAATTGCCAATGCAGCGCTCACTGTGCCGTGGGATGAATCAGACAATGAAAGGAAGAAGCTGAGCTGACGGTAACCTGGCGGAGCAGCGACACTGAAAAGCCACGAAATGCCTGCAGGAATTTGGATGGTTCCACTGATAGCTCACTAAAGGGGTTACAGATACACGGTCAGCAGTCATGATGGGCCACAAAGGCACTTTCTAAATAAGCAGAAATGAGACATCAGTGACTCAAGCTGAATGGAAGAGAGACCAAAGAGCTTTCATCTAATATAAGGTTTTTTACATTCTGTTATTTCCCTTCAAAAGCAGCATACTGGGGTCATTTTGAAACACCTTCAATCATACAGCTTGTTAATTTGATTTGTTAACCTGATGTCACAGTAAACTCAGATGTGATCAGCTTCTCTTCAGACATTTCATAAATGTGGATGTGTTTTTGGTGCTGTTGTTGAAAGGAAGGTGAGCTGTCTTATTACTGGGATCTCTCCAGTGAACCACAACCTCCTGCTGAGCTTTCATGAAGCCGATTCAACAACATATCTGTTAAGTGAGGACAAACACACACACTGTCACATGTCCTGTCTCTGTACTGAAACTAAAGGTATTAACATCCAACCTTGGGTTGTGGGAAATGTCCTATAATTCTGTCTTGTTACTTCTCCAAAAGGTTAGAAAAACATGTGGCCTTTCAGATTTGACAGTGAAAGCACTTTTAACTGCTGCTGTTATCCATTTGAATGATGTTCATTATTATAACACAAATAAACACAAGCTTCAGTTAGTCTACAGTTATATTTGTACCATATTAATGCTCCTGACAGACTTAAGGGAAAAACTCAAATGTGTTGAATAAATTCTGTGTTTTCATACAATACCAAGTCATGAATTAACATTATGTTTATTATTTGGAGTAAAAGCTAAGGCCATTATAAAAAGTGTCGGCTGATCTACACACAGGTCAAACCAGCTTTGTTTAGGTTATTTTAAGTTCAGGTTGATTGTTATTGAATGAAGTACAATTGATTATATAAATAATTTGCGTTTGAATTTGCCCTACAGTATCCCGCACGGTAGAGATGTATCTTCTTTAAATATCGTGAAGATTAAAATGCTTGTTTTCTAAGAACTATAGCTCTGTAAGTAAAAGTTGAACGCTGGCATCAATTCAAATCCATCAAACTTAAAGTGAATGCACATCCATTCAAATCCAGCTCATTGTCTGTTAAAGCTGCGAGAGAAAACGTATAAACTGAGATGTAAAGCAGTCATTAAAAAACACATCATGTCGGAACACAAACAGCCGTTAAAAAGGTAACACCTTATCAAGCAAAACAATTATCAACAACACAAAAACAGCGGAATAAATAACAGCTCCCAGGACAGATAATGACAACCTACATCAGACATTTGCATATTTCCATTATCTGAAGTACAGTGAACACAATATGTTGAGTGGCAGTCACAAAGCATGGTGATGGGAGCTTATTACTTGGGTCATAACTAAGGGACAAAAAAGAAAATGTTTTAGCACAGCCAACACACTGACTGGACTAAATGAGCCGAGCAAAGAGGCGTCACATGCTGCGTTACCCTTTACTCTCAGAGCGGGGATAAAACTGCTGATTACCTTAAATAGGGGATATTAATACTGCTGCTGAGTAAGCCGATGCAAAATGTGTTTATGTAAATACAAGTCAGATACAGAGCCTCTCTACGCAAAGCTTACATTACACAGGCTGAATGGAAGCTGTTTTAGTGCTCCGAGTCCCAGTGCAGTGCTGCCAGCCTCCCTGCAGCACAGACCAGACTGCTCTTAACTATCATGGCTGCTGAAGCTGTTATATCACCTCCTGCATGTTCGCTTGTTATGCACAGAAGTCAGTGCCCATTAATACTTTAGGCAGCGTTTGGGAGGGTTACACAGGAATGCATGCATTATTTGTGATGGTACAGGTATAATAAACCCCCAGTGAGGCTGAAACATGCCCTTTTAATATTAAAGTTCCTCATTTCCTGAATTATTGAATTGTTATTGCTATTAGACCTGAATTCTAAAGTTACTCTCCACCTAAGACTGCTGCAGTATTTTTTGCTTCACTTGGATGTTTGACCTTCACTGTGCAAAATGATGTATGTGCAGAGTTTCAAACTAGAAGGCTGTTTAGACATTCATCGGCTGAAGGAGGGAAGTTTCTCTGCTGACCTTGAATCTAAGAATTGTACATACGAGCATGACTTTGTGACACCGCATCGAGTATAGATGCCGATCACGACCCCACTTACACAAGTTTAATTTGAAGACATGAAACCACCAGAGCACAAACACTGACTTTTTTTTCAGTAAAGTAAGGGAGATTTTGTGTCCAGGGGACAAATTGGAGGTTAAGGTTTAGCAGCCAGTTAAGGTTTCAAACACTTTTGAAATGAATAAGATTTGCATATTTATAGATAGAGGGCAAAGTTATTTTGTGAAAAATAACCCTCATATTATAATTCAAAGCACAATGTCTGGAAAGGATCTAAAGAGTTTCTAGAAAAGTTTTAAATGATTGCAGAAACCAAATGACGGACACTGTGTGTTTTACACTGTGTATCCCATTAGCAGCCAGTTAAGCCTCAGATTACTAGCAGCTTCCTGTACAGCCACATAAGGTTTTATGCAACTGTTTCTCATATGCAGTCCTAATCCTCAGCACCTATAAACAGACGTTGATGTGTAAAATTGCTGGAGACCTCCTTAAAGAGGGATCAGTTGTAAAAAGTGGACCAATGATCCATTGGTCTATCTATTAAGTTTGTTTTGGTTTCACAGTTAAAGCCCTGCCTCTGTGTATCGAGAGGCTGGGCCATGAATGTACTTGCAGAAGTTTTTCTTTACAAGTTAGAAATGTAGTGGTTGAAAATGTTATAAGATGAATCAAAAAGGGTGGTATATTCATGGATGTACGTCAAACGATAATCAAGCAACATGCAACAGAACACTGCAGATACGTTTCCTGAAACTAGTCAGTCAAATCCCAATCATGTTAACCTGTTGTTTAGGGTTCATCTTGAAAAGCTCCCTCCTTGGCCATAATCCATAATCCTGTGTTCACTTCCTGCTATTGGGTTGGAATATCTTCTCACAATTAAACCGCATCGGGGCTTGCCAAGAAACATCGTTTTGTCCAAACAGTAGTGCGGTTACTGCGTTTAACTGCGCAAATATATTTCACCACAGAGTTCAGAGTTTTGAATAAAAGGACTTCATGTTTTGTGAAAGTTTCCATAGACATGTGTTGAACATCTACAGTATGTGCTGTACAAATTACCCACAGTGAAACAAAGACACTCACCATGCCAGGCAGTGCTGACCTGTACTTCTAACATTCTGCATCATTTATTCATTTCTTTCTTCAATCGTCCATTCACAACAACAACAAAACTTATTTTCTTAGACATCCACTGGTGACCGGCCCTGATGGACATGTGAGCTGACATGTTCCGGATAGAGCTCCTAAGTATTCAGAGCACAGCGACTCGGCTGACATGTTTGCCCTCCATTCCCCTGCTCGTGACCTTCACAGTGAAGAGCTCCGCAGACAGCACTCAGATCAGGTATGGCCTTTAAAGACAAGTGGCCCTCGCTGGGCGCCACGGCATTAGCCACTCAGGAGTCTAAGATGTGTGTAGGCATGTCTGATACTGATGGAGCTTAAGGCATTCAAAACGTGTGTTAGTGAGACTGCATTGTTTAAGTGCACAATGAAGAGTCTGATCGTGGATAAGAAGTTGCCGGGCCGACAGCAGACCGGATCAGTCATCATCCAGACTTTATCAGGCAGAAACATGTTCAGCTCGAAATGATCAAAACAAGAATCAAGCACAGTGTATCTCTGAGGGAAAGTGAAAAAGCAGAAGCGAGTGTCAGCTCGCCTCCGAGTACCCTGAGATATAGTGCTGAACAGCATGAGCTGGGATATGCATGGCATTTTAAAACATGTTAGAAGCTGCTTCAGAAAAAAGGATTTTGAGGGATTTAGAAACGTTACTCCTGAGAGTATTATTTTCACTCCTTTTCTGTCAGTAAACTAAGCTGGATATGTTGGATTTTCACGTTTGTATGAGCTTGAAAGTGTTAAGCTATTCAGTTTGCTTACAATGCAAGACATGTAGACATATAAGCTTAAAGTCCAAAGTGAAGTGAAGGACTTTTCTGAAAGTGACATTTATTTGACT